GCAGTTACTGTTCCAAAAAGGAATTTGCTTCTATGCTCCTTCATGTCATCATTGCTGTGTTTGTGTCCTACGACTGTGTTAATTCGGTACCAATTTTATGTTTATTCTTAGAGGACTAAACCATCAGAATTTAAAGATGCTGTTATATTTTGTCACTTAGGTTATTTGAAAGATTTGATATGGAATTTAGTTTTTTCCATAAAGGTTATTGATAAAATACGTGGTTAAGAGTCAGTTACCTATTTAAATAACTGAAAGTTGAAATAATTTATCACAAAATTTATATCTTTCCTTCAAATTTTACAACAGAATATAGCAGGCATTTATTACCTTTAAACATGTGTATTCTCAAGAAAGTAAAAAGAAGAAATCTCCATAGAGGTCAGGACCATCAGTGTAATTTTAAAAATCAGAAATGGGTGGACAATTTACATACATTTCAGGATTTTACTTGACATTATGAAAGACTTATTTTTGGAAGCACTTAACTTTTTTGGAAAAAAAGCAAGGGTGGGAATTCTACAAGGAGAAGTGTAACTCATCAGAGAGAGAAGCTTCCAGGTGTCATGCTTGTTAGGGGCACCATTGCCGTCTAAATGCTGAATGTAGGAATGACTGCAGTGTATTTCTTACATGTGATGCATTTAGGCATTTCAGTGAATTCAGTGTCTTAAATGCAGCCCACAGGGACCAAACCCCATGGAACTCAGCTGAATGGCAAGACATATGATAGAATGCTACTGCTATTGGCGTTTCTCTTTTCAGATACATCCCTCTAAGTCCTCTTAGGACTGACCAAGCTCTAAAGGGCATAAATATTTAAGAATAATACAGAGCAAATAAACACCAGGCAGTGATTCAGAAAGCATGGATTCTAGTCTCTGTTCACATATTTGATCAATTTTTCAAAAAATTTTTCATAACCTCTGACCTATGTTTAAACTTTGTCTTCAAATTCTAGGGGTGAGAGAAAGCCAAAAATAGATCTCTTCAGGACCTGTGTGGCTGCTATTCCTCGACTGCTTCCTGATGGGATGTCAAAACTTGAACTGATTGACTTGCTGGCTAGGTAGGTGAGAACTATGGTGGGCATTATTTAATCAAAATTGATTTTAATCCTTTGTCATGATCCTAAAAAAAATAGAATGATTATTAAAAATGGACAAACATTTACTAATTCTAGGTATTCTCTGGAGTACCCAGGAAGAATATAGAAATGTTTTTCTTTTGTTTGAGATTCTTTCGCCCATACTCAGTGGGCTTAAAATTCAATGTAGTTTGGGAGAGTACAGCTCAGTGATGGTCCTGGGTTCAATCCGCAACACCTCCATTAAAAAATAAATAAACCTAATTACCCTCCCCCACAAAAAGAGACAAAAACAGAAAAAGATAAAACTCAGTGTAGAAGCAGATACATAGGCATCCAAAGTAACTATCCAAGGCCTGAAACATGCAAGTTAAAGGCACAAAAAAGTGACGTGTGAAATCAGAGGGTAGAAGGATTCCTGTGGACTGGGTGTGGCAGCAGATGGCTCCGGGGAGAAGGAGGAACTTGAACCACCCTTAGAAGGAAAGACTGAATTCAGAAATGGTACACGGAGCAACAGGAGGAAAAGCACAGGGGTGGGCCCGGAAATGAGGAGATGAATCTGGCTGGAAAAGAGTTCATTCAGGCTCTGATTCCCAGTCTGAGACCCACACACCCACAGGGCCCAAGAGGTGGGTAACAGGGATGCTAAGCTAATTTTAGAACTTCAGAAGGCTTCCCCAAATCATACATTTTTCACCCTCCCCATCTACCATACGAATGCACAGTCCAACTAGAGCCTAAAGTTAATTTGCTTTGCATGATATCATCTTATGATCGTTAAGTAAGCTTGATTTTTCTCACGTTGATCCGAGGTTCTGGTTGATGGTTATGCGTGTCTTTAATTTTAAAAATCATAGGTGACTTGTTACCTAATTGCATAGAGAAGGCAAAATCATTAGGAACGGGGTGCATGGGGGGAGTGGAATGAGGAAGAACAAAAGCCTTCCTTGATTTTGAAAAAAAAGAAAAAGGAGTTTAGAAACCCAATGATGAAAAGAAGTGGAAATAAAACTGGAGAGGTAGATTTTCAACTAGTCTTTACTATTAGCTGAGGCGTTTGGACTGATGGAATTTTAAAGCAGGAGAGTAACATAATAAAAAATGTCATTTTAGTCTGGTGAATCTGATAATGATGGAATAGAGGAAAGCCCGGAGAAGGATAACAAATATTAATGCTGCCTGGATGAAAGATGCATTATGCATAACCTTGTTCACCCATGTTCTCTAGCCTTCCGAGAGCACAGTTCCCATCAGTGTCCAAAAAACAGCCCCAGCCCCCATTCCACAAGACTACAGATCACCCAGTCGCCTCCCCACAGCTCTAAGTGTCCCCATGGAGCACAGTGTCTCCTGGCGATGGCGGTCATGGTGCTCTCTGCTCTGCACAGCCAGTCCAGGATCCTGTGTAGGTCACTTCCTGCTATCAGTTAATAGCTCTCATCAGTCAATAGCCTACTGCCCACCCCTCCTTTACTCTTTTCCTCCTTCCAGTCACCACTAGCCCAGGGTGATGCTGGCTGGTGAGGTTTACTGAATGAAGATCCATTACTTTGCTAACCACTGTGTCAGCCTTGAGGCTCTCTGGCCAAAGCCTTCTGCCCTTCTCACTGGCTTTTGTCAGCTCTTCTTTGCTATAATCAGCAATCTCGGGTTCTTCTTTCTTCCATTCCGTGTTTAGGAGATACTTGAAGAAGAACATGAAGTCAAAACAAGTGCCAGCCGAGGCTTGTGTGGAGGCCTGGCCCCCAGAACGTGAGCCTGGGGCACCTTCGTCACAAGCGGGAGCAGTGGGGAAAGAGGGGAAACAAGGCCGGATCCCAGAGGGGCTTCCAGTTCTGGGTGAGGGAGGAACAAAGGGTGGATTCCCAGAGAGGAATGAACGTGGTGACTTGGATGAAGGGTTAGGGAAGCAGAGGAATAAAGAGACTCAGATCCTGGGAAGGGTCATCCACACTCACGTGGAGTCTCCCAGGATGATGCAGAGCCAGAGAGTAGAGAACCGCTGCGAGACATGTGCCCCGATCACCCAGGAATGGGCGGGAGCAGCCTGTCTGTGTGCCATAGACGAGCGGGCAGAGGGTGGTGGGACACAGAGGTAGGTGCTGGGAGCAGAGGCTGGGCGCCACAGTGAGGAGTTAGGAAACAGAAGACCCCTCTCCATGGCCTGTGAATCAGCAGAGAATGGGAGCCCCCCCCCCCCAGTGGAGGGATCTGGAGGAGGTGCCTCCAGAATGGGAATAGGACTCACTCATTTGGAAATCTCGATTTTGCTTCCCTGCTGTGCCATTCTACTAGCCGTGTGATCTAGACAAATGATTCCGCCCCCTCAGCCTGTCCTTTTTCCTTGGTAAAATGGGATCAGGACTGCCTGTCTCCTAAGACTGTGGAGAGGGTTTAAACGACAGAAGACACGGTCCTTTGGTTAATCTGCGAGAAAAATGTGTCAGCAGGGAAAAGATCCTTATCAGTTAGCGTGAAGTAGAGGGGAAGTTCACTTACTTCAGTGCAGGGCTAATTGGTGTTGATTATGTAACTAAGCCCTTTGAAATGCTGCGTTTTTTAAATGTTGTGCAGCGTCCTGGTGAAGTCTCTAGCTTTGCTGTCTGTCTGTGTGGGAGACGCTTACCCCTGGAATCACGCGATGGCCTGACCCAGTGCCGCCTGGGTCCGCCGGCCCGGGGCCAGGCGAGTCCGGGGGAGTCTGTCAGACGTGGCTGGAATGGCGGTGCTATTTATAGTGCATCGCGCTTATTACGATGTGCGTTCTCACAAAGCCCAAAGCGATGGGTCCTGTTTTTATGAGGGGAAAGAACAAATAAACATTCTTGAGGGTTCAAGTCTTAGGGCAAAGTCAAGAAGATGGCTGGACTTATATGGGCAGCCTGTGGAGAGACCTTTTTTCATAAGCTTCAAAAGAAGCCAGAGGCCGTTCTCCTCAGGGGAAAGATAACTTGGCGAGCTGGCCCTCACACTGCACCTATTAACCTGTGAGAAAATGAGCGCCTTCAGATCTCAAGGTCAGGGGACAGAAGTGAAGAAATCGAATAGCAGTCAATGCGGGCTTCCAGTCTTAGGACACCTCATTCCCCTATAGTCCAGTCGCCTTTGATTCAAGTTGACTCCTGACGCAGAACACGATCTGGTCAGAGAAGTGTGGGACTTTTTACCTCAGACACTTCGTGGCCACATCCCTATTACATTTTTACTGGAGAAAAACTTTTGTTGTTTTTTTTTTTTCATAATTGGCAAAATGGGACCAACATTCACGCCAGCTCCCCATCCCTCGAAGCTCAGTTCCCTGAATAAGGAGTCTCAAGGTTTTGCCCCACAGAACTACCCCGGGCTCCCTCCCCAGCAGCTCTGCTACTGCTGAATCCCAGACCCCTCGCCTCCGACTTCGGTTAGGATGTTCAGCGTAGCAGTAGTTCACGGAATGGAATGGGCAAACCCCTCTCTCCGAGCTCCTGACTTCCTGATTTTACGTGTGTTGCTCCGCCCACTCACGAGGGCCCAGAGTGAGGAATCTTCCCATGTCTGCCCCACGGAAGCCACACGGCCCTCCTGACGTCCTGATAAACAGATCCCTGGGGAGCATTTCCTTCCTACCCACAGCAGAGCCTGCCCTACCCGGCTGTCTGGGTCTCCCAAGGATTCTCCACATACGAGGGAGCTCGCGTCTCTCCTTGGCAGCCATCTCTCTCACTCTCCTCACAGGTGTTTCCAGCCCCCCCGTGACCACAGGGAGCACCTTCCCCAGCAGTCTGTGGACTCCTGGCCTCCGTGACTTCCTGCAGCACTATGTGTACACAGAGGGCTTGCTGTGCCGTATTTACTCTCCTTTCACGAATTAAATAATGCGTGTACATCACGTAGCATAGAGCCTGGAACACACTAAGCTCTCAGCAAATGTGACTTATTATTTTTAGGCATCTTTAAATTTGAGTAACATATGATGCCACGATGTACAATGCATTTTCATATACATCATGGTAGGAGAGCTGGGTACATATTCACTCCAATTTTCAGACAAAGAGATTAAACTTCAGAAGAGTGAAGTCAGTTGCCCAAAGTCATTTCCCTGAAGTCAAATGGAAGTGACAAATGTCATTGGTTTTATGCGAAAAGACAGATGAACACATTTTATGCAGTGTTTCTTGACAGTTGGTGGAGCTTTCTGAGGTAATGGATACACAGTTCCACGATCTTCTGTGATGTCTGAAAAATACTTAACATTTACCATTTATCATTCGTTCTTAAGCCTCCGTCTGTAGAGGGAGGGTGGCTAGCTGTTTTGAGTAGCCGGGTGAGAACTATGGAGTCATTGCATATATTGCCTCAATAAACCACTTAATCTTATTTCTTTATTTTCATTGAGATGCAGTTCAAAGCACTGTAAATAGGTGGGTTCATTCCTTAATACCTGCAGAGAAGGAATTCCCACCACTTCTGGTGAATTTTCCAAAGGTTAACAGTCCACTCGTCGGCAAGTCCCTCCTTCGGGGACCTAAAAACTATTCACTTTAATCTTTAAACCCCTTCTGTCATTGGTGACATTAGGGGCAGCAGGCCCCTCACCTCTGCCTAAGAACCTTTCGTGTATCCTGTCAGAACTGAGAGGAGTCTGTTTCTCCTAATGGCTCTTTTCTTCCACATGGTGTGTGAATTTGAAATGACTCCCTTTTCATTCGTGCACCTCTAGCAGCAAAATTGTTGTTCAGAGCTACTGAGCTGATTCCATCGGAATCTGAGCTCACCTTTATGAAAGTGTTTTCCGTTCAGAGTCATTTGTCTGATCCAACCAACCAAGGAAGGGGTCTTGCTCAGGTTCTGGATTTTCCCCATCTTTCCCACATCCTTACTGAGTAGTAAGGTCCTGTGCTTACCCCCCTCACCCAGCCTAGACTGCCTCAGCCAGGGCCCCGGGACCGTTCGCACCGGCACGTGTGGCCTGTGCAGAGTGTCTCTGCCCGTGTCATCAGGCCAGCTGCCGGGGAGGGGCAGATGCGACAGGTGCAACTGATGCTGGCAGCGGTGGTTTCTTCTGGTCTGTTTTTTTGCTGTGTCACTGTGGAGTCCTTTTAAGCTTCCTCGATGGTTTTGTGTGTAACCACATACCTGTGACCCCATTTTAGGCTCCTGGAAACCAGATCAGCTTCTTAGAAGTATTGCTTTAAAGTCCCCCAAGCTTGTCACACTTCATGAGCTGCCTTCTCTAGAAGTCTGTTCTCTTTAATTACTGCTACCAAACTCTCACAGGACTGTTGTTTATTATGGTCACAGTTGTTTATTTTACAGGCAAGAACTTGTCCTTTCTTTCCTGGTTTCTCAATGGGATGGCCCTGCAGGGGTTTGGGGAACCCCTCTTCTCACCCCAACTCCTTGGCCACTGGACCAGGAGACGTTGTGAGACAGCAGATATGCCGCCAGCATCTCGCAGCATCCCTGCACAACCTGCATCCTCAGCGTGGCTGGGCGTCTTTCTTATTTAACTCTGAGTCTTTGTCTCCTTTTTCGTTAGCTAAAATTTTTTCTTTGTTTTATAATATTAAATCCCATGTGCTTCACAAGATGATCCGTGATTATCTAGTTAAAATCTAACAAAAGTACAAATGGGAGAGACCTGGGTGGGAGAAATGGCAGCTGTACCTGATGCGAGCTCCCTACTCAGACTCTTCCAGGAACGACACAGGCAGGGGTCTTGTCCTCGCAGCTTCTTCCCCTTCGCCCTCACCCGCTGCCACTTAGACTTGCCCTGATATGTTATTTTCACTCTGGGCCTTTTTCTTCTACAAACATTCCACTTTTATTATCAATTGGGCCTTCTATTCCCAAAGCTCCCTCCCCTCCCTTGTCCTGTCTTTTCATACTCCAGGAATATTTTTGAGTGTTTTCACTGGTCAAGCATGTGAATACCATTGTTTCAAGAGGAGTGGGACCAAATATAGCCAGAGCTACATACACCACCTTGGGGCTGTCAAGAGTCCTTAAAACGATCCTGTGCTGTCAGTTTAAAGTTCAGACAGATTCCAGATGGCCAGTTGTGAATGATGGCAAAGTTAAGTGAAGAGTGGAATTAACCTCAATGGAAATCTGCAAGTATTGGCCCTTGCTTGAAAGTTGCATCTAAAGAGACCATGACATGGCTTTTATGTTGACTTTTGACTCTAAAGGTAGATTCTAGCCTACTTTCGTGGGTAGTGTGCTAGGGCGGCCATAATACAGCACCACAGACTGGGGAAATCGGAGTAAGGTCTGTATTTTAGTTCATAGCACTGTACCAGTGCTAACTTAGTTTTGGCAAAGTACCATGGTTCTGTAAGATGTTAACATTAGGGGAGCTGAGTGAAGAATATAATAATAGAGTAGGGGAGGGTGACCCATTGTTCAGACACAAATAAAAGCAGAGGCCTACGTGTGCTCCTTGATAGACGTAGAAGAAAAGCTAAAAAAGTGAATGATTGTATCGTCTTCATTCATTTCGCAGGCTCTCCATTCACATGGATGATGAACTGCGACATATTGCACAAAATTCTCTTCAGGGCTTACTTGTTGACTTCTCAGACTGGAGGGAAGATGTCCTTTTTGGCTTTACCAACTTCCTGCTCCGGGAAGTAAATGACATGCATCACACACTCCTCGATTCATCCCTCAAGTTACTGCTCCAGCTGCTCACCCAGTGGAAACTGGTCATACAAACTCAAGGAAAAGTCTATGAACAGGCCAACAAAATCAGAAATTCAGAGGTGATTTTCACCCTTTTCCCCCTAATTTATATTCTTTGACATAGTACATATGTAAATAAGTTGCACCCCAGAGAACCTTTGTTCTTACTTCCTGCTGTCTAGGAACTTTCTCCCTAGTGGTGACCCTTAGTTTTCCCATCTGCTTGAATTGTGACCAAGAAACTCAAGTCATGGTAAGCCACATCAGGTTAGACTTATTAATATAAGCAAGGCCATTTAGGGAGTTGAAATTGGTTGGTTTTTTTTTTTTCAGGGAATTATGATTTTAAATCTGTAAGAGCAAATTACCATAGGGCAGGGGTAGAAAGATGGATATGGATATGGACCTAGAGATGGATATGATCTAGGGATGGATGTGGGTCTAGATTTGGATATGGATCTACAGCTAGATATGAATATAGAGATGCATGTGGATCTAGAGATGGATGTGGGTCTAGAGATGGATGTAGGTCTAAAGTTAGATCTGGATCTAGATTTGGATATGAATTTAGATACAAATGTAGAACTGGAAATAGATCTAGATATGGATACATGGATATAGAGATGCCTATGAATACAGAACTGATATGGATATAAAGCTGGTTATGGATATGGATATATAAAAGTTAGCTGCCCTCCAGATTTTTTTCTCCTAGTCAGCAACATATTAACTGCTTTCTCCCATAGCCAGAGAAGAAAGTACAGTCTTGTGGTTTCTTTAGTCTTTCGTGCCTCAGTCCAGAATGGCGAAAATTAATGATAACATTTTGAAGATCAGGGAGGAAGAGTGTTGTCAGAGGAGAACCAGGGCAGTGGTGACTTGGCATTGGCAATGAGCAGATGGAGAAAGGGTCTTGCTGGCGAAGAGGGTTTGCGGAATGCGGAGGCTCGGAAAGTATAATAGCATTCAGGGACCAGCTAGGGTACCAGAGATGAGGGTCAGGTCATTCTTCCTTGCTTGTGTTCTATACTTGGCAAAAGATGACAGGGAGAAAAACAAGAATTACATATGCTTATAAAAGGAAGACTGAAATGAAGGTGGAATCTGCCTTGTTGTCTGGCATGCTTCTGTTTTAGATTCACTTGGTTTGGGAATTTGCAGAACACATCTCGTGGAAGTGCAAAACCCAGATTAAAATCTAACATGAAAACAAGTAAACAAGTCTGATTAGAAAGTAAATGTTAGAAAATTCAATTAAATAGTAAGTAAAGGTCTATAGAGAATTTAAATAAAACCAAATTAGGCCACTTTGATTAAATATATAGTCATCTCAGATGGTATGGATGGAAGCAGTTTTGTTTTTATTTATATTAATAGCCTTTGAAAAAGTATTTCATATCAGAAGCAGTAGAGGGTTGATGGTATTCCAAAGTAACAACTGATCTGAAAACAAAAAGGGATCTATGGTATTTCATGAATAATAATTAATTCATAGACACGTCTGATTCTAAGCCATTGTAATTTATTTTAGTATTACAAGGTCACATGTGCCGGAAGACGTACATAGAAGAGTAGTTTTTTCTTCCATTGTTCTTTTTCTCAACATAAAATGTTGTTCTCATTGCACGACAGCTAATTGCAAATGGCTCTGGCCACCGAATCCAGTCGGAGCGGGGTCCCCACTGCAGCGTGCTCCATGCCGTGGAAGGGTTTGCTCTGGTTTTACTCTGCAGTTTCCAGGTGGCCACACGCAAACTGTCTGTTCTAATACTCAAGGAAATTCGAGCTTTATTTGTTGCCCTGGGTCAGCCTGAGGTATGGACTATTTTTCTGACTTTCCCAATTCGTGTCTTTCAGCAGTTTCCAAGTTTAGATTAAAAACTATAAAGAATGCATTACTGTTTTAAGTACTTTCATGTCACCCATGATGCCAACAAATAATTTTTGATTCAGGGTGGGTTTTTAATTGCAAAATCGGACTCTTGATCTACAAGAGATAAGTCGCATGTTCTGAGAGCAATAGGATAGACCATTCCTGATTCTCTAAGAGATGGTGCTTTGTGAAGAAGTGAAGAATCTTTAGATTAAGTTATAGATCATTCTCTTTCATAATATTCAGTGTATATCAAACTAAGAAGATATTATTACATTTATATTAGAGAATGAACTTGAGAAAGCAATCCATCCCATTTAAAATGAGCAAGGTACCGAACAGTCTGACTCACTGGAAACTGTTTAATCTCAATAGTGGTAGAAAAATGACACCACAAGAAAACATGTCCCCTTGAGATGGGAGAAGTAAGCCAATTAATAACTGCAAATGACTTCAGCTTTCCTCCCATTTTGGTCAAGTATTGTGCATCCTTGTTTAGTTGTTAAGGTACAGGCGGCCAAACTCTATACATAAGTTGATGAAAGAAGGACCAGCTTTTTATGTCACATACTTCTTTAGAAAAATGCTACTTCCTATTTACTTGTTTTAAATCACTAATCTTAGTTCTGTGATCCTCAAATGGTCATTTTGTTTACAAAATATTTGCAAATGTATCCCAGTCCTCTGTGTTCAGGTTTCTTCAGTGAGCTTTCTGATATATTTTAGGACGTCTCTGGGATCTGGCAAATGTATCTCTGAGACATGCTGTAGTTTGGTAAGCTTCCAGTAAGTCTCTAGTTAGGATAATAATGATGATTAATAATTACTGTGTATGTTTCAGGCACTGAGCTGTGCTCTGCACGTATCGTCTCATTTAAGCCTCACAGTATTGTTTTTATCCCCATTGTGCAGATTCTAAGACTGAGGGTTAGAGGGGTGAGATGCCTTACCCACAATCAACAGCTAAGGTGTGGCAGAGCTATAATTGAAAGCCAGATACATATGCTGCCAAAGACCAGATTTTAAACTGCTATTCCAGCAGGCTGTATAAGGAACGTTTCTCCTATGTTGCTCTCTCTGACCAGCCACAAATTTTTTTTGTATAATTTCTTATTGAGGTATAATTGATGTACAACAGTGTACTAGTTTCAGGTGTACAAGATAATGGTTCCATTTTTGTATACATTGTGAAATGTTCACCACAATAAGGAGTTAACATCCGTCACCGTACATAGCTACAAGATTTTCTTTCTTGTGATGAGAACTTTTAAGATCTCCTCTCTTATAGCAACTTTCAAATATGCAATACAGTATTATTAACTGGAGCTGCCTGCTGTACCTTACATCGCCAGGACTTACTTATTTTATAACCAGAAGTTTATACCTTTTAACTCCTTCCCCATTTCGCCACCACTCTTCCCCCTGCCTCTGGCAACCTACCAGTCCATTCTCTGTATCTTGGTTTTTTTTTTTTTTCAACCACAACTTTTTTGAAACCATTCTCAATCCTACATGAATAAGGACATTCAAAAGCTTTCTTATAAGACTTCTTCTAAGTAAATAACTTCATATTTCCAAGCCTCTCTGTAATAAAGGATGGCAAAATACACGTTCGTGCATGCGTGCATTATTTGTGTAGAAGAATTTCTTATAAGATATTCTCTCTTGTGCTTTTTCCAATCTGCTCCTTTTACCAAATAGCTGTGCACGACATAGGTACCACATGGAGTACGTGGTCAGTCCCAGTGCCATTTCTTTGGGACTGAACTTCAATCACAGTCAACAATTTATCAGTTATTTTAGCAGATCAGTGACTTAAGTAAGCAGCATTTCCGTGGTCTGGCAAAGCATACTCCTGTGGGGTTTCCATTCCTTCACATGAATAACAATATGAACATTTTAGTGAGTAACGTGTGGCACTGGGATTTAGATACGTATATGTGCACAAGTTTTTAAAATTCAGGTACATGTCTTTTCAGTACAATGTGTGATTGGAGCTCTAATTATCTTCCCCGGAAACTGGTAAGGCTAAACTCAGAATCCTAGGGAGTTGTACCCCTCCCTTTCACCACCTTGGCACTCGCTCTTCTGTGAGAAAACCCTTATCACTACCTTGCAAGCTGTTCTGCTTCATGTACCAGACAGAGGCGCCGGGGAGGGCGGAAGGATTCATTTTCCCGTGGAGAATGACTGCCTCCCTTCTGTGCAGGACGATGACAGGCCTATGATTGATGTCATGGATCAGCTAAGTTCTTCCATCCTCGAAAGTTTTATTCATGTAGCAGTTTCGGATTCAGTAAGTACATGTTTGATCCTCTTTGCTGATGGTTCTTAAGTATAAACTCGGCCTCTCTGAAAAAGAGACCCCCCAAAAAATGATGTGGAAGAATTCTGGGGTTTTGTGTCAGGTTAGTAAACAGACGCAGAAGTACTTAGGAAAACAAGACTAGCTTCTCAAATAGCTCAGGAGATACTCAGATACATTTGAAACAAAATTTGAGCCTTAGGAAAACAGATATTTTGCAAATAGCAGTTTCAAGAATTGTTTGGGATTCTTTGAGAAAATTAGTTGCTTTATTATACTTAATACTATATATAACTTATACTTATGTGGTGCTTTACAGTTTACAAGTTGCTTTCACATTTATTGTCTTTTTTGACCCTCATAGGTATTAAAACTCAAAAACATTAAGGGTCAGGACCATATCATACAGTGTGTTAGGGCCTGAACTTGACCTTATCTGGACTCTGAATCCAGCAGAGCTTAATCTGCTACACAAATACATTCTTTGCTTTAAAGAGCATACTGGCAAATTCCGATTTCTGATCAAGTAGAAGGGAAATTGAAACTGATTTTAATTATCTGACTTTTAAACAGTTAGTATAGCACAGTGATGGGGCTTGGATTAATTTTAGCTAAATAGCTGAAGAGAAGCAGGGCAGATCTGTGGAATCCACATTGCTGATGCCCCTTGTATGTTGTGGTCAAATAAGTATAAGATGAATATAAACGTATTTGACAAATAGCTATAAATAAATATAGAACCTAAAGGCATTTGTGAGCTTTTCGTGACCTTTTCTGAGATTGAACACAGATCCCTATTTTTAGCTGCCCTGTTCTAGCGTATGGTTGTTATATTAATGATAATTCCTTAAACTGTTGGCCAAGCAGTGCATAACTTACCAAGGATATTGAATAGTCCTACCTCTTCGTTTAGAAATTCACACTGTTTTGACAGGGAATGGAAGAGTCAGGTGTAATTGTTTTATATACATATCTTGTTTCCCTGAAGATTATGCTTTGTTCATGTGATTTGGGTTCTGTGTTTATCAGAATCAAAATGTTGAGCTGGGGTGACTAGGTCAGCATTTCTGCACGTAGGAAGATGCACAGACACGGGAGATGAGGGATGGGGGAGAGCAGTGTTTGCTTTGTGCCAGGTTTGACTTCCATTATCTCATGTAATTCACTTAAAAATTAGGTGAGATCAGCATTATGATTTCCAAGTCATAAGTTAAGGAGACAGAGACTCTGAGACGTTCAGAAATTTTCCTAGGTCACAGGCTGGGGGGCAGAGCCCGTATCAGAGCTTTACCTTCCGGCTCTGGACCTGAAGCTGGTGTAGCACTCTTTCCCGTGGGAACTCGGAGACCCAACAGAACAAACGGGTCGCTTTTAATGCCTAACAAACTTAATGGCAATGTTCTCTTCTGTCACAACAGCTAGATTATTTGAAACTTGCTCTTCCCTAAGCTTTGATATTCTGGACTCAGAAGAGAATGAAATATTAAGAAATTATATGTTATCAATAAATATGCATCTACATATGATGTAATATATAATGTATATTAATACAGACATAGATATCTTTCAGAAGGCTTTAGAGTGTATTATTTTAACTTGATATCATAGGAGAAGAATAAGTAAGTATCTTAGCTCAAAAATCGTCAGTAAAATGCCCTTCATAAAAGGGATTGAACTTAGCCATCTCCCTAAGCCAGAGGGAAGGTATTTCAGTCCAAGTAAAGGTAAATAAGATCATGGCTTAAAAAAAAAAACACTTATTACAAGATAATAACACATTTAGGAATCTCAGAGGTTGATAATTTTGCAGAATTTGAAATTGACAAATCCATGGTCGAGTTTAAATTAACTAATGCCAGGGGGAGGGTATAGCTCAGTGGTGGAGCACATGCTTAGCATGTGTGAGGTCCTGGACTCAATCCCCAGGGCCTCCATTTAAATAAATAAATCGAATTACCACCCCCCTTAAAATTTTTTTAAAAATAAATTAACAAATGCCGTATTTTGTTTAACAAGTATTTAATGAGCAGCTTCTGGGTACAAGTGTACAGGGCTACATGACATTAAAACTGTACAAAACGTGGCCCCTGTCCTTCAACTTGGCACTTCCACTCACTGAAGTCTAGCATAGGAAACGGCGATGACTGCAAACCCAGGTCCTACGTGGTAGGGGTAGGTGGGAGGGGTGTTTCAGATTCCCGCTCAGCCTGTTGCAAAGGTGGACGGCAAAAGCACCACGGAGGAAGAGGCTCTAGGCAGAGCCAGGACGAAGACATATAACTTGCAGCTCAGCATTGATACCCTGCCGGCTTTTGGCACCTGCAGGCAACCTTACCACTGACTCACAGCGTGGACCTGCAGTGGCTGGTGGAGTGGAACGCAGTTCTGGTCAATAGCCATTATGATGTGAAGAGCCCTTCCCACGTCTGGATTTTCGCCCAGTCTGTCAAAGACCCCTGGGTCCTCTGCCTCTTCAGCTTCCTCCGGCAGGAGAACTTGCCCAAGCACTGCCCCACCGCCCTCAGCTACGCCTGGCCATACGCCTTCACTCGGCTGCAGTCGGTGATGCCCCTGGTGGACCCAAAGTAAGGCATTAGTGCGCTCTCCTCTCTGTTTTGCTTGCTTTACCATTTGCCCTTTTACATTTTTATTTTATATAAGAAGTCGGGATATCATCCTCTCTAGTGTCTGACTATCCTACTACAGAATTCTTAACATTGAGTAAAAGCAGGTTAAAAGTTCTTGTCTGGAGTTAGTTTTTCCCCCCTTAATAATCAGTGTGATTGTCTGAGCCTTGGATCTCAGTGTCTTACTGCTGAAGATCTTAAGTTCCATTCAACTTTCCACCCAATAGAGACATTCCCTGTCCAGACAATCTTTGAGAGATAACTTGTTCAACCAGTTGGAGCCCTTCCCAGGATCTTTATTTAATAAGCGGTGTCTAAAATCTGGAACTTCGTTTCACTCGTGTTTTCTACTCCATATTTCTAGTAGCCCAATTAATGCCAAGAAAACCAGCACTGCCGGCAGCGGAGACAACTATGTTACCTTGTGGAGAAATTACCTTATTCTTTGTTTTGGAGTTGCAAAGCCCAGTATTATGAGCCCGGGACACTTAAGAGCTTCCACTCCAGAAATAATGGCGACCACGCCCGATGGTACAGTGAGCTACGATAACAAGGTGACATGACATGCTTCAGAAGAATTATTCTGTAAGGTTTTTTTTTAGCTTGTTTGTCTAGAGTTCACAGTGCGAATTGCACTGTGCCTGCCATCTGGAGTATATGGGATCAGATTTTCATCCTACACATCTCTAAATTCCATTGAGTGTTTATGTGAATAATTTATTATTCCTCCCTGACAACTGGGGAGCTGAAGATCAAGGGACATTAGGAAACTTGCCTAGGGCCACAGAGTGACTTGTATTTACTAGTGCCTTGAGGTTTCATTCATGTCCTGCATACCACGTTTCTCTCACTCCTCACCAAGTATTCACCTTTAAACCGTGTCTTGATTAAATTATCGTGTTAAAGATGGCTTTGTGGAGTTAAGTGAGTTTAAAAAATAATAATAAAAGATGGCCGTTATACTGTAATAATAATGTTCTTTAGGATGCGTGTCCCAGGTGAAAATGCATTCATTGTGCTGTGTTAAAATTTATGTGCTTTTTTTCCTGAAATGATGGCAGTGCCTTGGGATGTGGTTCAGTACTTTAAAACTGTTATAATGGAATCATCGTTTAATTAAAGGAAGCATCAGTTATCATGTTACCTCTTTTTCACTTTTGGTCAACTTTTTTCAGGCCATAGGCACCCCATCGGTGGGAGTTCTGTTAAAGCAGCTGGTGCCTTTGATGAGACTGGAGGGCATTGAGATCACAGAGTCCCTAGTTTTAGGATTTGGAAGAACAAATTCCCTTGTTTTCAGGTACAGTGATCTGAATGAGTTGTTCTGAGTTCCCATGTGCTGCTGCTGTGGCAGTTCCTGCTTCTGACACAAGTCTGAGTTCGCGTATTGGCTTGTGTCTGGAGAGTCTGCAGGCTTTGCACAATTTATGTCCTTTTGGCTTGATGTGCATGTGACGAGCATTCTTTGCTGCTGCCTCCTCGCCTCTCATTTTTAGTCATTGCGACTTTGATTTTACCCATTGGATTTTCTCTCGCTCGTAAGCTTTGTTTTAGGTGACGGTAAGTGAAGATAATTCAGGGTCAATCCCTAGTTAGGCAGACTGTTCAGAGGCTGTAATGTCAAAATAACAAGTGTCTGCTCATCAGCCACTTGGACAAAGACTCCCAAAGGTTAAGCATTGGTAGAACGCTTCCTGGGGTGTCTGCTACCATTAAATGCTTGTTGGTCTTTCTGTAAGATGCTGTATTTGCCTTAAGAGGACCATCACATCTTAATTTCCGGATTCCTTACTCATTTCACACCTGTAATCAAATAACTCTTCCATCTGAGACAGTGTCAAAGCCTTTGCAAAGAGTTATCATTAAATGTTAGTTCAGGCTGCCTCTGACGACTTTATCTAACAGTGAAAGCCTGGAAGGGCACAGAAAATCTTAGTTTTTCATGCACACAGAAAAGGGAACACTTCAAGCATCGGTGAGAAATCGTCTGAAAAATAAAGATTAATGAGACATTTTAGAAGCAACTGAAAAACATGTTACAATATAGAGTCAGATTTTATCCTTAAAAAAAAATTGCGAGTTCTGACTACTTGAGTGCCAGTTAACCAGTGTTTTACTACTTACTGGTTATATAATGGTGTATACAGATATACTACAAGAAGATAATAAAAATAATGCCTAGAATTGCCTAACGTTCTCTCCCAAAGAACCTAAGGCTCCTTTGGGTATCTTACCCTCTGAGTATTCCTAGGAGTAGGCACGATTATGCAATTTCCTAACCACGTGGATATGGAAAACTTAACGTCTCTGGGCCTCAGTTCCCTCATATGGAAAATTGTTTTATAAATAAATGTAAAATGAATCTCTCTAATTTAAAGAGATTGGTGTAATTATAGAATAAATCTTACAGATTTAGTGAGAGGATTAAGTGTAAAAACACATGTAGTAAATATTTGATAAATGGTTGCAATTAGGCAAAAGAGACCATTAGTATTATTTCCATTTCTTTGATGAAGAAATTCTAGCATCTGTATTGGAGAAATCTGGAATGGAATTCAGGCTTTCTATTTCTCAGCATAGAATGCTATAGAGTTTACCTTCCTGTCCTTGGATTTTCCTGGAGGGTGATGTTTAATGGCACAAAATATTCTAGCAGGAAATACAAGGTTTCAGACATGGAGCAGACTATAGACAAAATATCTAGCGACAGGCTCCTAATTTTGTCCGTTGTGACAAGGCATTCAGAAGTTACTTCCTAAAGATGGCAGTTGATTAGATTAGCAGATATAAAGCTGAGACTGGAGGTACTGGGGACAGGTGAACTATATACATGTAGTATAAGATATGCATTAATATGATGATTTTTTATTTTCACTGTGTAAGAGAAAATGTTTTGATGACAACCTATTATAGTACTGGCCATAATTTACATTGATCATATAGCTCGAATAAAATAATTTGTCTCTGAAATTCCAGAAAGACTTCAAATCAGCTATAAATCAGTGCCCTGAGCACAGATCCCAAAGGTGGTACCATAGTAATTGCACCTGTTTCTTTTGCACTAATTAGATTGAGAATTCCTTCTGTTCAGGGGCTCAGTTTTATTTATCTTCAGCCCTACAGCCTGCAGTAAAGGGCTTTGAATTTAGTAAGCGCCTACATAATATTGTTTGTGTAGTTGTTTAGGTAGTGTTTTACCGTAGAGGTCTCCAGAACATTAAACCAAAACTAAGTCAACGAATTTGTATTGACCCCAAATTATATACACAGCACTGGGATTAAGATTGATAATACGAGGTCTAGCCCAATGCCTGGTTCCAGTTCATCGTGTGATTGGGAAATGGAAAGGGAAGGCCGGGGGGATTTTGATGTCAGAAGCAAAGTTTTTTTAAAAAGCAGATTAGTTAGTATTGAATGGCTATATTTTGTGACAAATTTGGTGTCAATAATGATGAATTCTAAATGCTGACCTTTTTTATTCATAGAGAATTGGTGGAAGAACTTCACCCATTAATGAAGGAGGCTCTGGAACGAAGACCAGAGGTAAGGTTTTGAATTTGAATAATGAATGCCTTGGTTTATTTGGACAGTAGTGTGAGTTTAAATCATACCCAATGGTTTCCTCTAAAGAAAACAAACATATCAACATACTTTTAACAATGAATCTTACTATTTTAACTTTTGTTATTTTCATTATTTTTCGGTTTTATTATTTCAGTATTGTACTAAATATAATATCATATGGTTCCAATTTTAAAAGATTTTAGGTCCAAAACTTAAGCAACCTAAATACTCATGTGTTTGCTAAGATATTACATTCTTGCAAGAGGTTTTAGTTGAGACTGAATTTTGCTTTTTAGTTCGTTTGCTTGTTTTTCACAAGGGGTTGAACATCCAAGAACATTGTTTCATCTGGTTTATGAGGCATTTTCCTCAACATCATCGTCCCTGAAGTGAACTCTGAAAAGGGTAAACTTACAATAGAGCAGGATGAAAACATTTAAAGATTAAACAAGAACCTCCTCATGTAGTAGATAAGATGCAAGAAGTAGCTGAATTTTGGCAGCTCAAGTAAGCATAGTTTTACTATGCTTCGTGACCAGAACTGGGGGGACGTTAGTGACCACAGTCCTTTTCCACTTGTTTCTGATGTTTTAGTTTCTCAGCAGCTGCTGGGAACCTCTAGAAAATGAGACTTACTGATTCTCAACATTTCCAACTTATAAATGTTTTTTGACCCACTTACGATCTGTTTCTCTCGTAGCCCATAATAGCAAGTGTATTCTCTAAGGATTAGGAAGGAAGAAAAATACTTTTTGTCTTTTAAGCTTAGAAAATGGAAAATGACTAGATGATGCCTTTCTTTAATACAGTTTCCTAAAGCAAAGGTAACATTGTTGTGCCATGTCTGTAAATGGTTGCCTCTTTCCACACAGAACAAAAAACGCCGAGAACGGCGGGACTTGTTAAGGCTACAGCTACTTCGAATTTTTGAACTTCTGGCTGATGCTGGTGTGATAAGTGACAGGTAGAGTGGAAATTATACTGAGTTAATCTTGCTTCACCAAACTGATCTTTTTGTCTCTTTCTTTTTATTTATTTTTTAATATTACATTTAACTTTTACTTAGAAAAGTCCCCAAAAGCTTGGTTTTTTTTAAAAAAAAATATTTACACTGCACGAAGGTCAAGAGCACATTTAGTGTGTGCATTCTGACAGTGAATCTTACTTTCCATGCTGCATGCGCTACGTTGACACAAAGACTAATCACCTAAAATTTTAATTTCCTTTTATTCCAGCACAAATGGAGCCTTAGAGCGGGATACTTTGGCCCTTGGAGCTTTGTTCTTAGAATATGTGGACCTGACCCGCATGCTCCTAGAAGCTGAAAATGATAAAGAAGTTGAAATTCTGAAGGATATCCGGGCACATTTTAGTGCCATGGTTGCCAACTTGATTCAGCGCGTTCCAGGTGATGCATCACCACAAGTTACCTTTCATGCTGGAAAAGACATCTGTGTTCATTCGTGTGCTTTCCTCTTTAAACCCACTGGCCTGTGGGCAGGTCGGAGATGGGATGGTTTATTTGTTTGGAAATACTTAGAAATCCACGAGAACAGATTGTGGTTATGCAGCAAAGAGTTGGTAGAGGAACAATAGTGAGCTTTGCACTCACCATCATTTCTGTTCTTTGTTTCGGCTCCCATCTGAGCATGAACCTGTGTGATTTCCATAGGAAGAAACTAATTCAAAAGGAACATTCGCACGTATTTTCATTCACCGTGTGCTAATCTGTGAACGTATATTCTCAGCGGTAGTCCTACTCTTGGCTCTATTCAATCAACACGTTATATAGAATTCTATATAGCTCAAGAACTTACTGAGAATTTTTTTCACAGAGCAAATAGATCTAAAGCATTTCATCTAACAGGAGCATAGAGAATAAAAATAGCTCATCAGTTGGGTGTAAAAATTAATTGTTGTCATTAAAGCTTTTTGACATAATTACAAAAAGCTGCAACTCAACTGTTTCTACTTTTTCATCATTTTGATATTGGAAAACCTTCTTACCAATCTGCCGCATCTTTGACGACCCTAAATTAAGATTTGAGTTAACTTCTTCGGTAAAAATGTGTTTGTTTAAAATAGTCTATATGTTGTATTTCATAGTTCTTCCTAAAGACTCCGCAGCAATCGAGAGAACGTTTTACATGTAATCAGCAGCTGAGTGGAAGGTGTTGTGTGTTTTTCTGGACATTGATTAGAAAACAGTGTCTCTGAGTCCGTTTTCTATCTCTACTTTCTGCTCTGAGACGAGGTGCTATTGACAGAAACATGAGAAGAAGAGAAAGAAACTTAGGCTTGACTTGTTAAATACATGTTTCATGACCAAACGAAAACTTGAGTTAGAAAATGAAGTTTTACTCCTTTCCTCAAAACTGAAGGATCATGCATAATAGCAACGTAAACTGTATTCTCTGTATTTTTCAGTCTAGCAGACTCTTAGGCTCTGTGTTTTCTCTCTAGTTCACCATCGAAGATTTCTCTTCCCCCAGCAAAGCCTGAGGCACCATCTTTTCATCTTATTTAGCCAATGGGCAGGGCCCTTCAGCATTATGTTCACGCCTCTGGACCGTTACAGTGATAGAAATCATCAGATTACAAGATACCAGTATTGTGCATTAAAGGTAGGTCACCTTCACCTCAGTGAATGACTTTGCTCTCATCCTGGAAGAGACTCCCAGAAATAAATTCCTCTATTGCTAGGACTCTTCAGAATTTTCAGAATCATGGTTATAGCGTGGTTTCTTTTAGAAAATTAACTGTATAGCACCTCTGTCATGTATACCAGAAGTTGCTGTCAGGCTGGCTTGTGCCTCAGGGGAGCTAATTTAAACCCTGGCCCTGGTAGTCATTCGGACCCACTAATTACGAAGTGAATCAAGTCTTCCCTTACCTTCTCTTCCCTTGCTTCCTCCTCTCTCAAAGAAACTAAAGTTTATATTCTTCATTTTCTTTATCTTTGATTAAGAACCACAGTTATTTATTTCTATATTTTTCAGTTTGTCAATTTAGTACATTAGTCAAATATTTGTCAAATTTGTCAGTTTAGTACACTAGTCAAATATTTGTCATCGATGGAAAATTTGAAAAGCTATGCTTTTCCTACAAGCAGAATTCATTCATTTGAAGTCACTAAAGATAAATTTATTTTAAATACTGTGAAATGGTCATTTTGTTTTGAATATCTTAGTCTTTCATCATAAAGATTAAATAAAAATGACATGTCTACGAAGTTCAATTTATGGGTTTTAACTCTTATAAAAAGACAAACTTAGGAATCTGGGTTTTTTTTAATTGAATCTGTTAAGGAATATTCTTAAATCTTATGGAAATAACTACTTTAAAAGACCTTAATCGTTTATGAATCTGGTAGTATGTTTTTTAAACTCAGTTGCATACCATTCAGTCATCCCAGGTTGTGTTCTGTTTCGTTGTCAGGCTATGTCAGCAGTGTTGTGCTGTGGCCCAGTGTTTGACAACGTGGGCCTTTCCCCAGATGGTTACCTGTATAAGTGGCTTGACAATATTCTGGCTTGTCAAGACTTAAGAGTGAGTACTAGCCAAAAATGCATTGTTTTTAAATATCTTGAGGGTTTTGCCTTGGTTGCGTTACTGACATTTCTAAGCACTGTTCACGGCACAGTTTCTTCAAACATCCAGCCACGAAAGTGTAGGCTTACGTGCTGTTCACATTACACTGTGATGCATCAGTATAAAAAACACAGTAGCATTTACCAAAGTTGACCATAAACAAGGCCATAAAGCAAGTCTCCATGAAATTCAAGTGATTGCAATTACACAGGCTATGTTCTCTAATCACAGTGGCATTGAGCTAGTAATCAATAATAAAAAATAATAATAATTAAGGAATGCTCTTTGAGATAACCAGTGAGTCAAAGAATAAATAAAAATAGAAAGTAAAAAATATTTTTAACTGAAGAATAATGAAAATACTACATTGTAAACTTTGTGGGTTGCTTAGAATGACTGTGTGGCCTTAAATGCATATATTAGAAAGAAAAAAAGCTGATAATCAATAACCTAACCGCCCATTTCAAGAAGTTAGAAAAAGAATAGTGTATCAAACTCAAAAAAAGTACAATGAAGGAAATAATAGAGCTAAGAGCAGAAAGTAATTAAAGAGAAAAAATTAATAGACATGCTCATTTAAACCAAAAGTTGGACTTATTTAAAGACTAATAAAAATAATAAATCCGTGACAAGTCTGATCAAGAGAGATAAGACACATGTCACCATCCTCAGAAATGTAAAGGGGGCATCACTACAGATGCTACAGATAGAAAAGTAAGAGAACATATGAACATCTTTGTGCCAATAAGCTTGAAAATTTAGATAAAATAGACAAATTCCTAGAGAAACACAAGAAGAAAAGAAAATCTCAATAGTCATATAAGTAATAAAGAAACTTAATCTATATTTGAAATTCTTTCCACAAAGAAAACTTTAAGGCCAGATGACTTTACAGATTAATTCAATATTTAAGGGACAAATTGCATTGATTTAATACAAATCCTCAAAGAGAAAACAGCTCAAGAGGAAATACATCTTAACATATTTTGTGAGACCCACATAAGCTTCATACTAAAACCTGACAAGAATTTAATGAGAAAGACAATTAAAAGACAATTTCATTCATGAAGATAGATACAAAAAAATTAAACAAAATATTAGAAAATTTAATTTAGTGATATTAAAAAGATGACTCATCATGAGCAAATTGAATTATTCAAGAACTGCAAGATTGGTTTAATATCCTTCAGTTGGTTCAAATGTCCTTCAGTTCATTTGTATATTAATTATATTAATAGGGTCTTAAAAAGAAAATATCATATGATCTCAATAAATACAGAGAAAGCATTTAATAATATCATTTGTGAGAGAAACTCCTAATGAAACTAAGAATAAAAATGAACTCCCTTAGTTTGATAAAAGGTATTTTTAAAAAAGCCTATAGTAAACAAACTAAACAGTGAATCCTGGAAGTGTTCCCTGAGATTAGAATGATCCAAGAAGCCCCCTTACCACTTTTATCAACATTATTAAAGATACTACCCAATGTATTAGAAAAGGAAAAATAAGATATCAGGAATGGAAAAGAAGAAATAGGTTGTAGATCTACCTAAATGTGAAAGCTAAAAAACTAACATTTCTAGAAAATAACACAGGAGGATATTTCAATCCTTGGTATTAGGGAAAGATTTCTTAAACAAGATGCAAGAATTACTAACCATAAAGAAAGAATAATTAGTAACTTGTATTTACCAAAATATACCATTAAGAATGTAAACAGGCTAGCCATAGAGTGACAGACGTTTGCAGCATAAAACCAACAGAGTTCTTATCTAGAAGAGTAAAGGGCCCTACGAATAAGTAAAATAAAGACACTCACAGAAAAATAAGTGGAGACTTGACCAGTTTACAAAACAGGTATCTAAATGGCCAATAAACATAAGAAAAGGATCTCAAATTCATTAGTAATCAGAGAGTTGCAGACTAAAGCCACATGAGATACAACTTCAAATTCACTAGAATGGCTAAAATTTAAAAGATTAACAATACTAAATACTGATGAGGAAATGGAGCAACAGGAACTCTCATACAATGCTCTAGAGAGAGTAAATTAGAATAACCTTTTTGGAAAACCAATGGGCATTATCTCCTGAAGTTGAGCATAGCACATCCGACAACCCAGAAGTTGTATTCCTCTGTATGCATCCACTATGTGTAACATAAGACACAGAAATATCCAAAGCAGTATTATGAAGTCAAAAGCTGGAAGCAACCCAGATGTCCATCAGTAGTAAAATGAATAAATTGTGGATCCATCGTAAGTTAGAACACTGTACAACAATGGAAGTGAGTGAGTGTGGATGACTTTTAAACATAAGTTTAATGAAAGAAAATAGACACAAAGTTATATATTGTATAATTCTACTTACATAGAGTTCAGAGCAGCTCAGACTAACCAATGGTGGCAGAAATCGGGATAGTGGTTACTTTTGAGGAAGAGGGAGAGGTTAATGATTAAGAAAAGTTGCAGCATTGCATCCTCTTAAAGACGAATTTGTGGAATACAAATTAATCAAGATGAATGTTCAGTCTTCACTCCTTTTACCCAGTTTATGTTTGCTAAGCTTGATTTGGTGTCTTTCCCTAGAATAACCTTTCATAAAACGTGAATAATTGTTTTTCTCCATGTATTCAGGTTCATCAGCTTGGCTGCGAAGTTGTCGTCTTGCTATTGGAATTAAATCCTGACCAGATAAATCTTTTCAACTGGGCAATTGACCGATGCTATACTGGTTCCTACCAACTCGCATCTGGCTGCTTCAAAGCCATAGCTACTGTGTGTGGAAGCAGGTATGAATTCTTTAAATGGAAGGTACTGCCCAGTGACAAGTGCAATGAAAGATGCTCTTCATTCATATGAATAATTGAGAGCTGGCTGCTTTTGCAAGGATCTGAGCAAATTCTAAGCAAATACGAAATGGTCTGTATTTCCTCAGCAGACAGATTATTCCCTCTAAATCCACAGCTACACTGACTTTTCATTCTACCAGGAGAATGGTTTGTAGTTATAGCACCCTTCTTTTTAATTTCCTGGAAATTTATAATGAAGTAATACAACAGGATTTGAAAATAATAAAGAAGATACATTAAAGGAATTAAGGGCATTTCTGGAAGTGTTTGTGACAGGTGCGAACTGTAGGCCTTTCAGCCATTTTGAGACCAAACCAAATGCCAGAAGCAACCTAAAAATGCCAAATTCCTCTTGTCAAAAACTTCAGAAAGGAAGAAAAGGAAAGAAAATGTGTCTCCCTGGACTCCATAGATCACACTTTTAAAACCACTCCCTAATTATGTAAATTCGTCATTCAGGGGAGTCATTCAGCACTACAATTTATTGAGTGAAATAATTTCATAGCCAAGATGAAAGGGTTAATGAAGACTCCGCAGATTGCATTTTTCCTAAGAAAAAGCTTATTATGTGTTAGAAATTGAGAGAAGGCAGCTCAAGTTTATTTTTGAAAGGACTCATATAGACTATTGATTGTCCCTTTTGATTAAATGTTGCATTTTTAATAGCTATCTTGAACTACCAGATAAAGGAAATAAAGAGTAAATCAGTTTTAAATTCCAACCTATTATGGTTATAAATTAATAAGAACAGAATTTTAGAGGATATCTACTTTCAATAAACTAAAATGAATGTGCCATTCAAAGAAACGTTTCTCTTTAATATTTTTCTTTCTTTTATAAAGATAGTAGATAACATTTCATGTCTAAAGCTTTCATTTTCTATAACCTTAGTAGTAAAATTATTATATATGTATACGTAATTTCCATAAGAGATATAGCAGATGAGCATAATCTAAACTGTCTGATTTTCCATTGGTTTATTTCTTGATGTTAACATTACTAAATAATATTTATACCTATAGAATATTACCAAAACAACATTTTTTACAAAAATCTCTTTCCCTGGGGTGTGTTTTTATTTCATATATTTCAACATTCTAAAAATGAATTTCTGCTCACATGACTCTTTGATTTTAAAAAAACTTGTTTAGTATCTATGACTTGGACCATAGATTCCTTTGACAAAAATAAGAATAATAAAAGTTCCCTTTCTTTGCTGCCCTTCTCCCAGTGAACTTGATTTGAACTATTCTAGTCAAATTTATTTCATTGTGTAGCCATCTCATAAAATATCACTCTGCATTCCTCTGAATAAATCTAGGTATTTTTTAGCACAAATAAATGCTTTATGAATTTAGCAATATAATCTCAATTGCAGTAATATTTGAGTCACAAAAATATTAGGTTATAAAGCCTTCTATGTTTAGAGTAGATTTTTTTAGGATAGTATCCTAAACTATTTTGGTTTCTTAAACAAATACTGCGTATCAGCTTACACTCAAGACACTCATCTCTTGTGAGGGAAGGTCAGAGGCCAGGCGATGCCATGGCTGCAAGTTCTCTGCCAAGACAGTAGCCAACACTTCTGTCATTTCTCACTACAGAGCATGTTGAGAATTTAAAGTCTCAGCTGTGGCCTAAATTTTGCTCTCTTTTCCCATAAATTCTCGGTCTGTATAGTCTGGATAAGCTTCCAGGTTTGTTTGAGCAATCTTTGCTCCTAGGTTTTCAGTACTTTTTTCGAAAGCAACTCTGGTGCTTTAGACGTTGCTTTATTTTCTGCAAGTTTGCTTCTAAAAAACACCTAAGCAACTTACGAAATAATCTGTTCCTGAAAAGTCATACATAAACTGGATCATATTTTAAATTTCTCGAACAAGTTATTTGTACAGTAACTCCCACAACAAGAGCACGGTCTAAAGCACAGAACACTTCCTAGAAAGTAAGTAATTACCTCTCCCTTTTCAAATAAGAATGATCATATGTTGGGTTTATTTTTGTAGAAACAGGACAGCTTATAAACAGACTTATTTATTAAGGAACCACTTATAATTGAGTTTTTTAAAAAACCTTAAAATGTTTACATTTTTTAGAATTCTCTTGATTAAAACTTTCTACCTTTCTACCTTTTCTACCTAAAACTTTCTACCTTTGGTTTTAGAATTAAAGTGATTTTTGAGTGGCTAATATATCAATCCTTATGGTCAGCAGCTGTGATGGAAAAAAAAATGGTTCTCTACATTTTTTTTTAATTTATGTATTGAATTCTTTGGGGATAGACCTATCCAGGATGGAAGCTAGGCTCCACCACTCCTCCCTGACCTTGAGCAAATACTTAATTTCTCTAAGCCTCACAGGCTTGCTGTGAAGATAAATAACAAATCCGGGTAAAGGACTTGGTATAGTAACAGCACAAAGTAAGCACATCATGACACAAATATCACCTGCCCATCAGTCATCATCTTCCTCACCACCATCATCGGGGGGAGGGGGGGTTGCCCAATTTCCCACGTGATACGTCAGACTCATGCTTTTTTTGCTCATTTAAAGTTAAAGTTCTAGAAAAGTAATCATTTTGGAGTGCAAATTGGTAAAGTCATTTTAAAGGGCAATATAGCCGTATCGACCAAAATTTTGACCCCACGTGACCTCTTCTAGAAATCTACTCTAAAGAAGTATTTGCACATTTGATGTCTGCAGCATTATAATAGTAGAAAAATGAAAATAACCTTTAAATGTTGGTCAGTTCATGGCAAAGGTTGGCTTCCCCAGGAAACAAGACTGTGAGGTGGAGATTTGAGTTCAAATATTTATTAGGAAAGGCCCTTGGGATCAAGCTCTATGGAGAAGTGAAGGATACCGGACTGGGCAGCGAAAAGAAACCTCAGCCAGTCCCACAGGGGTGCTGCCGGGGAGTAGGCGTGGCCTTGGCCCAGAGAGACCAGTTCCCAGAGAGGGATTCAGCCCGAGACAGCAGCTTCCCACCCTGCAGGGCAGGGAGCGCCTCAGTCCTGCGACGGAGATGTGAGGGGCACACACAGCATCTGCCACAAGGCAGTGATCTATGGTCGGTCCATACTGTGGAATACTGCCCAGGTATTAAGAAGACTGAAGTGAGCCTCAGTGGTGAAAAGGCGAATCTCCAAATAACACATGTAGGTGGTATGATCACAGTTATGTTTAGAATCCTGTGTAGTGGCGGAGGGATATTTTGATGCAGATATATGCACATATACGCGTATGCAGAAGCAAGTGATTGCCTCTAACAACTGAGGGAGAGAAAGAAGGCGGAGCACTTCCACGTTTTCTTCTCTGCACCTCCCTGCAGCCAGCGTCAACTTGCAACCCTTGTGTGAACCATCTTCAGGGTGGATCCTCCAAACCCCGCGTGTTGCTCGAATTTTCTGAAACAAAATATACTACTCGTATCATGCAAAATTAAATTTGATTTATATCAAAAATAAAAAGTGAAAAACAACCCTTCTTCCGTGTTTAACCAGTCCTCACTATAATCCCTCACTAAATGTGCTGTACAATGGGCAGGTACCCATAGTAGGAGTGTGCCTTTCTAGAAGGATGATTGTCCCAAAACGGAACTTCCTAGATCGTGTAAGGAGCCCCCAGGAAAAAGAACATTTTTTTTCCCCACCTTTAAGCTGTCTTCTGCTTTCTGAAGTTTGCCTCAAAATAAGTATCAGTCACTCGCTTCTGCTTGTGGCCCATTCGCTAATTGTTTACCTCACCAGGAGTTTTCTCTTTGAGACCTCATTCCTGTAGACTAAGAAAGTACATACAGTGAGAAAGACGTCATCTTCAAGCAGTATTACACAGCTAGAGAGAAGATGAGGGCGTAACGGCCACATTGCGTTTGCTCACCCCACTGATCCCCACAGAACCTATTCCTCGTGTTCCTCCTCCCCTGGCTCCCTCCCCGCACATCCAGTTACCAGTCCTGCTGATTCTGCCTCCCTCGTGTTTTTCAGATCTGTCCCCTCCTTTCCATCTCTACCATCCCTGTCCTGATTCCGGCCCTTGTCAGTTCCCCTCTGGATTATTGTAAAGGCTTCCAGCATTGACCCCTGTACAGTCCATCCTCCACCAGGCAATCAGAGTGACTCTTCAAAAGCTATCATTGTCCCACCGCCCTGCTACAGATCCCGTAGGGGCTTCATGATTTTTAGGATGAAGTCCATGGGCAGATCATCTTCTGAACCCACCCACCACCCTCGCCCCTTCTCCTCCTGTTCCTCTGCTTATTTCTTTCCCTCCGTCTGCTACACAGAGGTCTTTCCTTTTGCAGGAGGTGTTTTGCATTTTCACTGTTGTAATCTTTCAAAATGCTGGCCTTCTCTCTGCCTAGAGCGTTCCCCGTGCTACCCTTTCTGTGGCCCTGCTAACAATCACCATGTCTCTGGTGCTTCAAGGCTCAGTTTCCTTGTTTCCCCCTTGGAAAGGCCTCCCCTAACCCCGCGTCTGATGCAGGGGCTGCCTGTCGGGTTCTGTGTCGTGCGGGGGGTAATCCCACCAAGACTCACTGTGACGAGACTGGAGTTCGTCTCCCTTGCTAAACTATAAGCCTTCCTTACGGGAGGAGACCAGCCTGACTAACTTAATATAATGACACTTTGCAGTTACTTCTGATATATTTTGGTGCCTAATAAATTTAGGTGGATTAAATGAAAATATTGTCAGTGAGTTACTGAGAAATTTAGACATATTTGTATTTGGTTTTCATTTGCAATAGACAGATTTTTTTTGTATTCATTTATCCTGGTATGGCAGTATTCAGTTTTAACCAAAAATAGACTTACTACCTTTCACCTACTAATAAACAACAAAAGAATGAGGGGGAAATGACCAAATGGGCATGAGACTGTCACTAGCAAGTGTGACTGAGGCCAGGGTGCCAGCTAGAATTTGGAGAGGTAATAATTTATCAGGGTAACTAGCCAGGCTGTGTCATAAACTATGCTGTTTGTTGTTTTTTTAAGGAACTACCCCTTCGACATAGTGACATTGCTGAACCTTGTCCTATTCAAGGCCTCTGACACCAACAGAGAGATTTATGAAATCTCCATGCAGCTCATGCAGGCACGTATCGTTGACTGTACAGAAACTGCCACCCTTGGGCACAGAGAGTAGCAATGGTAGTTGGTCACTGGATGGCTGTTTGTTTATTTCTGCACATCACTGATCAGCATGAAGAGTCAAAACATAGTTACATGATCTTCTGTAAACATAGGAAGTAATGGCTGCTTTACCTTTAATAAATTAAAATATGCATTCATTCGTTTTATTAAAAACTTTATCAAATATGAATACTCCTGAGACAGACAGCCAGTGTTTTTTCACACTGTTTCTGACTTTCCCGCCTCTTTGTAGATCCTTGAAGCAAAGCTTTTTGTATACTCGAAGAAAGTGGCTGAACAGAGACCGGGCAGTATTCTCTATGGAACGCACGGCCCGCTGCCTCCCCTCTACAGCGTGTCCCTAGCGCTCTTGTCGTGCGAGCTGGCCAGGATGTACCCCGAGCTCACTCTCCCACTCTTCTCAGGTACCGCCCCATTGTCATTCAGGCCATGTGTGATCGTTTCTGCTCTGAGAATCCTTCCTTCTTAAATTCTAGTGTAATTTTGAGCCACAATTATTGATGCTAAATTTGTAGCTCAGAGTTGCTTTGGGCTAAGTTCAGTTACATATCTGTAAATATAAAACAGTGTGTTTATCTAAGTCAGTGTGAGTATAAATAAACACAGAACAAATGTGAAGATGCTTAGATGAATCATAATACTCTACACACATTACGTATGTAAAATTTCCCGAAGAGACGAACTGTGGGTAGTGTAACTTCTAATACACACAATGGCTGTGAGTTGCTTTTTGGTGGTAATGATGATGGTGTTTTGTAGCTTAAATGTTGCCGTGTATCTAAGTTGTTGAGCGTTTGATTGGGGGCACATCTTTACAAGTAACCCTTGCGTGAATAATGTTTTGGAAAATCCTCTTTTAAAGAAATACACGTGTTGATTAACTGCTTGCCTAGGCCCGTGTAGCTAGCACCTTGCTGAGAGATTGACTTTGGTCTCTTAAGTCATCCTTCTTTTCCGTCCGCATCACCAATACCTTAGTCCAAATCCTCATCAGTCCCCCCACCCCACCCCTGCCTCTGACATCGCCTGCCTGCCCCCTCCGCACAGCGGTCCATCCGCTACGCAAAACCAAATATGCACAGCCCTTTTCAACTCAAACTTGTCTGCCCAGTTGTCCTAAAAAGAATTGCTGATAGTAATAGCTCCTGTCTACGGAGTGCCTGTGCTAGGCACTTTCCATACATTTCATTTATCCTTTCAACTCCACAGCCCCATGAGTAGTGGTTAGAAATGAGGCTCTGGGGTTAAGAAGCCTGGGTTCATCCCTGGCCTGCCGTTCACACAGCCTTGCTGTTTGACCTCAGGCAAGTCACAGGACCTCTAAATTCCGTTTCCTTATCTACAATAGTAACCACCTTACAGAGTGTGAAGATTAATATAAGCTAATACGGATCAAGCAGTTGGCCCAGTCCTGGCGTGCAGTTAGCACTGTGATTCTCATGTCTATTTTACAGATGAGAAATTAAGACTCAGGAATAAGTAATTTGCTCAAGACTGTATGGCTAGGAAGCAAGCAAGTCGGAATTAAATGCAGATGTCTTCCTCCAAAGCCAGTGCCATAAAATTGAAACTTCTTCACTTGTTTAAAAAAAATCTCCTTTTCCACCTTTTATCTAAGAACCCTCTACTCCAAAGACACTTCATCCCTTACCAACATTTCAGGCCCTTTTATAAATCCTTGCTTCTGTACCTGCTGCTTCCTCTGCTGGAAATAGCCCTTCTCCCATCTCCTTAGCTTCCAGTCTTCCTTAAGATCCAATTTAAAATCTGCTTCTACTGTGAAAACCTATTATCTGAGACGGAGTTAGTCACATCCTTGCATTGTGTCTGAAATAGTGGAAGGACTCAAGAAAAACCTTTTTCTTGGAATTTTCTTTAGAAAACCTTTCTTCTTGGAAAACTAAAATTTATTTTTATTCACTCCAGCCAAGATTTTGAGTGCCACCAGTGTGCCAGGCACTGTGCTTGGGTCCCAGGAATACCAAGCGGAATAAAACAGTCTACCATTAAAGGTTCACAGTCTAGTAATAAAGAAAGATGTGCAGGCTTATGATTATGATACAGTGCAGCAAATGCGATTTTACCTTTTTTGTATATATGTATATTTTTTATTGAAGTATAGTCAATTTACAATGTTTTGTCAGTTTCTGGTGTACAGCATAATGCTCCAGTCAAGTGCAATTTTAAAAAAGCATATTCTCTGTATGAGGTGGAAGATTGAGGAGTAATCAGTTTTGGGGCCAGGAACATCGGGAAAGACTTCCCAGAGAAGTTGGTGTCAGAGCTGCAGTTCGAAAGAAGAGAAGTTTGCAAAGCAGACAGGTAGTTGACGTGGTGGTTGGCAAGTAGACAGGTGTCACAGGCCAAGGAAATGGCATATGCATTGGCTGAGAGGTATATAATAGCTTGATGCATGTGAGAGATTATATAGTAGTCAACTGGGCTAACATCACATGCAGGGAAGGGGGAAGGGTCATAGACAGAGAGGCAGCAGTCCATCTCTGAAGGCCCTGTTTTGTACCTTAAGGAGTTTGCAGGCACTGAACTCAATGTGCTTCTTGAAACCCCTGAGAACCCTGTGGACAGGGAGGGCATCCAAGCAAGCGGCTTGGGTTTTGACAGCCACTGATCAGTTTCATACAAGAAGAGAGGAGGATGAAATCAGAGTGAGTTTTGGAAATACTGGCTGTAGTCTGGAGGGTGGATTAGGGAACATCCAATCCAGAGAGAGGGGACCAGTTGAGGAGAAATAGTGCAAGGAGGAAACAATGAGGGTCAGACTCAGACAGCCCAGTGAGAGCAGAGGGGAGAGACCAGGGTCAAGAGTTGCTGGCCGGGTGCGCAGGAGGGAGTGCCTGGTGTGGCATCTGGTGGGCGGGTGGAGGTGACCGCACCCAGAGAGCCCATGCAGAGGGAAGAGGAGGGTCAGGCGAGGCGGAGATCACGAGCTCAGTTTGGGGTATCGGCTTGGAGTGTGGGCACCTGTCGGACATCCTTCTGTGTAGACAGACCAGGGTCAAGGGAAGGCCAGTACTAGCGACTCATGGATGACCACAGGGGGTTAGAACCACGGGAGCAGATGAGGTCATAGATGGAGAGAGTATAGAGTGAAAAGACAAACCGGGATACCCAGCTTGTGAGGAGCAGGCCAAGGAAGGACGAGGGAGCAGAGGCAAGGAGGCGTGTTCACGGAAGGAAAATACCTGGAAGGTGTGTTTTATGGAAACCTGGGGAAAACAGGATTTCAGGGGAGAGAGTGAGCAGTCCACAGCCTTGAATATGTAGAGAGATCCGCGAAGATAAGGTCTAAAAATTACCATCCGGATTTCACAATTCATTAGTAGCAGTCGATGGTTTCCATGGAGAAGTAGCAGCAGAAGCCAGATCTCAGGGGCTTGGCTGAGAAAGAAGTAAAAAGAGGATGGAGCCACACTAGGACGCAGAATCGGAGGAGGAGCGAGAGTCGAGCTTGTTTATTAGCTGAGAGGAGGGTGCTAGTGAAGGGGGAGAGACCGACCGTTGGGGAGGAAGAGGGGCGATAAACCATCCAGCAAATTTAACAAGAAAAGAAGCTCATGTAATGAGTTCAAGCAAGTTCAGCCTGAGTTTTTGTCCAGAATTGGCCTTTTGGCTATTTTGACTTATGAGGAGTAACTTTTAAATAATGTGGAAAAATAAAGAGGCTATTATAATAGATCCCTAGCTCTTGTTTTTACTGCCTTTACTACTTAAAAAAAAAAACCCTGTGGTGAGACTTTCATTGCCTGTAATTTCAGATGACTTAATTCCTTGTAGGTAGCCAGGTGGATTGTTTAGGTCGACCTCTCTCAAACAGCCAGAAAATGTACATTGCATCCCACTGGCATTTTATTTGATTTGCTTCTGGAGAGGTGAATGGGGGTCATTCGCATGTCAGGGCATTTTTTTTTGTCTCTTTTCCCTTTAAAACACCCCTACAATTTAGGCCCTGATCTAAATGTTTGGACAGACAGGCGTACCTCACCCCCTTGGACTTTGTCTGACAGACAAGACATAATAAACATCATAAATCATCCTAAATAGATGATTGCAATAAAAATCACAAATTACTTATAAATTTTATAAGTATAAACTTATTTTATATAAATAAGTAATCTGATAGAAGGTGATTATTGCTACAAAAAGCCTGTAGACTTTGACACCGTGATTAAAGGATGACAGGCATTCTTAAAGCGGTTGTCCCTCAGATTGGAAAGGTTTCTCTCTCTCCAAAGTCCCAGTCCTTTCTAGCAGAGTTTAAATGGTTCTTTGGCCATAAAAATGCCCTGAAGCTTTATAACGAGAAGTCGTTTTCCTCCACTGAACCCCCAGAGCACTCTGTACCTCTCTTGTGCCATTGGTCACTTTCTACCTTGCCCCAGAGTTATCTGTCCACATCACTAGTCTCAGAGCTGCCTCCTCAGGGGAGGACCACCTCTTTAGCCTGTGCTGTCTCCATAATGCCTCGCACAGCTCCTTGCACCTGGAGGAGGCCCAGTATGTTGGAATAAATGAACATTCTGATTTTATAAGGATCTCAAGATGTATCATAAAAGTCCGCAATGTCTGTTGTGACATCCATGAAGTTCAGAAATTAAGTAAATTTTGAAATTTTGACCCATGTGAAGCATAATGCATCCGACTATTGTGGCACAGCATTATTAAGTATATTCTTACTCTTCAAGATAAGATAATTGTAATTGTGCTTTTGGGAGAAAGGCCACATCAGTGAAGGCTCCTGTTTGAGGGACCCAGCGGGTTATCTGGGTGGAATTCCTGGCATCTGCATTGTCTCTTGTAGAACAGCCACGAGCTCTCTAAATGGGATCGCAGGCCACGCTGGGTAACAGCAAGTGCAGCAGACCAAGCCTTCTGATCTCCCTCAGGACAGGACAATTTCTTCTGTAAATATCAGCAATAGGAGATGATTTCTGAGTTTGCAGTATATACATAAAGTTGTGCTTTTAATTCTATAGAAAGCGTATTCAGATCATAAAATTCAGTGCTGCTGGTGGTGAAACAATGCAAAAATGCTGTCATTGGAGGCAGTGGTGAAATGACTGGGCTAGACATAGAGTTTTACCCTTTTGATTCATTTATTTCATAAAATGAAGCACAGCATGGAACACACACCTTCCACGTAGTTGGCAGTTTTCAAGCAGACACAGGAACGTGAGTCCACGCACTGGGCTTGTTCTTCCTGGAGGCTCACATCCCACTTTGTAACAGCCAGTAGTTCAAGCAGGGCACTTTGTGAAAGATGGGTCTAGTGGAAAGATAACAGTCATGGTGATAATAGTCCTGCCTGCTGTGTATTAAGAGCCTTCTGGATGACAGGCACTGTGCCGAGTGTATTACACACATTACGATTGTATCTTTTAATCCTCACAATAGCCCAGTGCGGGTCCCTATTGGCCCCATTTTACAGATGAGGAAATGGAGGAACAGAGAGGTTAAATAACTAACCCAGCGTCTCATGCAGCTAGCATGTGGAGGAACTGGGATCTGGTCGCCTGTCCCTCTGAGCCCACGTCCCCTGTTTTGTCCACTCTGACGTAGTCCAGATGTGAGCTCGGGGTCTTCCCTCCCACTGCACGTTTCCCAAGCCTGTGCGTTCCCTGCCGTGCTCCCAGGGGGCTGGAGGACAAGCCTCGGGTTTAAGACTGTGTGGCCTTGGGGAGCTGCTGTCCGTGGAGACGCTTTGTGAGCTGAGGGCCCTGTTGGACCTGCCAGTTGCTGTTTCCTGCTGTGGTTTACTTTGGTGGGATGACGTGGCTCTCTGTCACTGCTCTTCCCTTCAGAGGTGAGCCAGCGCTTCCCCACGACGCACCCGAATGGGCGTCAGATCATGCTCACCTACCTGCTGCCCTGGCTGCACAACATCGAGCTGGTGGACAGCAGGCTCCTCCTCCCGGGGTCGAGCCCCAGCAGCCCCGAGGACGACGTCAAGGACCGGGAAGGAGACGGCACGGCTTCCCATGGGCTGAAAGGCAGCGGCTGGGGCTCCCCGGAAGCGACGTCGCTGGTGCTGAATAACCTCATGTACATGACGGCCAAGGTAAACTCGGAGAACTCGCACCCCAGTGACGTGGCTCCCGCCTCCGAGGAGAGCTGGAGTTCATCACACCCCGGGCTGCAAACCCGGCACCTGTCGTTAAAAGCCACAGGACTAGGCCGTGGAAGAAAAGGGGGTGAAGGCTGCACAACAGTGTGAGAGAGCTTCATGCCACTGAGCTGTGCACTCAGAAATGGTTAAGATGGGAAACTTCATGTTGTGTGCATTTTACCGTAATTTTAATAATAAGCCTAACATTTAAAAACCATGTGAGTAACTATCGTGCATGTGATTTGTGCATTATAAATCGCTTTTAAAAATGGCCTCTTTCTGATGAATGGCCACGTTTCCCCCTTCTTAGGATTTTGAGATGACTGTGACCCTTAAAATGACTTTTCATTGGACACTTTGCGTCCTGACATTTTCCCCATGTGCCTCCCGGTGGGTTTTTATTGTGTTTGTTGCAGTATGGAGATGAGGTTCCAGGACCGGAAATGGAAAATGCCTGGAATGCGTTAGCCAACAACGAAAAATGGAGCAACAACCTGCGGGTCACCCTGCAGTTCCTGATCAGCCTGTGCGGGGTTAGCAGTGACACACTTCTCCTGCCCTACGTGAGTGCCCCCTCGACTTTCCCGAGTCATTACTCTGTCCGTGGCTCTGTCAGCAATTTGTAAATCAGACTGTGCTCTTTGCTCCAAGTGGAATAGACGTGTCACATTTCATCAGTCACACTAATCTTCTGTGAGCGTCCCAGGTGTTATATTAAAGTTCCCTTCAGCCCCTGTGAGACGCAGGCTACGGTGTCCTGGTGACCCTTCTGTCATCCCCTTTCCAAGCCTTTGGACATAGACACCCATGAATGAAAGGGTGGACAGTCTTCTAATAATCACCGAAATTATTAGACCCATTACGTAAGAGAAACTAGGTGAAACATTCTATTATTACTAATAAAAATGTTTCCTGTTTGTATCTTCATGCTCTTAAAACAATAAAAATGCAGAACATCCAAGTTTTTCTCTTCAAAGGTAGGCAGTGGAAGAGAGAAATAAGCAGAGAGAAGTCCTTCTGAGATGCCCGCTACTTACTGTTTGTATTTCACTTGATCTTAGCCAAAAGGCCAAGAAGCGATTACTGTTTGTATTTCAAGGTGGCGTGATCCATAAAATGATTGCAGTTTTACAACCCTAACTCAGGTGGCGTATGTGTGCTGGTTGTCCTTCTGAGCGATTCTATGCCTGCCTGCTATTTTGAGCCACATAAGCCTCATAGCACAGCTTCTGTGCCTCAGGTTTGACTGTGAGGGCGACAGTAATGCAGAGCTTTAATCCAGAGTTATTTTTAAAATTTAAAACCATGCAAGCAGCTAAAACTCGTTTGCTTCTAGGGAAGAAGAGACCAGCAGGGACTGGCTTCCTTTTGTGGAAAAAAAAAAAAAACCGCTGGCAGTTTTCCCCTATGGTTTGCATAAATAAAATACTTTTTCAAGATAAGACCTTAGGTGGCAGGGTTTTAGCTGAGATAGAAGTCGTCTTTACCCCAAAAGTTACCCCAAAGGTAACTTCTGAAAACTTAGCCTTTAGGGAAGGTAAGGCCTTTAACAACACACTCCAATCAGATGTGCGTGTGACAAGAGGGCAACTTTAATCCAGACCCCTGGCTCATCCTAGGAGAGAAGGAAGATGAGCTATGGGGTGGCTAGCTCCCAGGAGGTGACACATTCATCAAAATGAATGGGTTATCCTCTCTGCTGTCGTCAGCCCGGCGTTCTCATGGACATGCCCTGGAAAGCATCCCTTGTGTTCTGTTTCTTGTCTCAGATTAAAAAGGTGGCCATCTACTTGTGCCGTAATAACACCATTCAGACCATGGAAGAGCTTCTGTTTGAGTTACAGCAGACGGAGCCGGTGAACCCCATCGTCCAGCACTGTGACAACCCGCCTTTCTACCGGTTCGCTGCCAGCAGCAAGGCCTCCGCCGCCGCCTCCGGTAGGGGAGGGCGCTGGGTGGACACCTTGTCCTGGCGCCTGGGCTTCCCTTTACGTAGGGCAGTGAAAGGATATGAGGATGTGGTTGTTACTCTTTCTTATTCCTACATGTCCGTTCATTGAAGAAGTGGCTCAGGGGTGGCGGAGACTCTCAGCACACCGTCCAGTGGATGAAATGATTTTTGTCAGGATAACTGGCAGTCGAGAGCCCAGGACTCATAGGCCACGGAGCTTTTTGTTTAGGCTGAGCTTCGGGAGGACACTGCAGTCACTTAGAAGTCTCATTTCTGGACCCTCCTTCTCATATCTGTGGTATTCCTGTGGCTTACATTCTGCCAGGGTTGACTAAAATGCCCCCCACCAGTATCACTGCTTTCAGCAAATGGGCCTCTCAGCATCATTTTATGAAATACATACCTCCCTCGCCAAGTTCCTGGAAGCCGTCCTCCCTTCGATTTCCCTAGCACCATGACTGCCTTCAGACCTCTCTCCTCCCTGGTCTCTTATGCCCTGTGTGCCCTACACCCTCCTGCAGAGCCGTGTTCCTGGCCCAGGGATCAGGGGCCCTAGGTACTTGGAACTGCTTCGCTAACATTAGTTTAATAACTCCTGGACCCAGAGATGCTAACGCAGCCAACAGCAGGGCTGGCCACTACAAATAAGGTCGTTACCTAAGTAGCTGGGAAGAAAGGGTTTCAAGAATGTTGTAGCCTCACTTTCTAAGTAACTTAAGGAATTTGGTTTGACCTTAACAGATGTCTGGGATTCTCTGTTTCAGGGGCTTGGAAGGTTGTTTAGAATGTCTGAGATTGTGCAGAAGATGTGAGGAATCTTTCAAACATGAGATTTTACAGGAAATCCTTTCCTGGAATTACTTGAGACTTGAGCTTGACCCCTTCACATGCATTTTTTTCCTATGTGTTTTTCCTTAATCCCATGTGCAGGAACCACCTCCAGCAGCAACACGGTGGTTGCCGGCCAGGACAGTTTCCCAGACGCCGAGGAGAACAAGATACTGAAAGAATCTGATGACAGGTCGGTGCACAAATTTGGCTTCATGTCCAGTTTAACCCTCGGCAGTAGTCTATACCAAACATTAGTAACATTTGGGGGGCTTCATAAATTTCACACAGACACAGACGTGCACAAATCCTTCTTGGTTTTTAAGAAACACAGGTTGACTTTTAGACTCTGCTGTTTGTCCCTAAAAATAACGATTTCTCCCTGAGCAAAGCCAGAGGAGAGAAGTAATAAGAGGGGTGTGGTTCTGGTGGCTGAAGCCCACTTACCCCAGGGCTTAATAAAAACTGCAAAGTTCTTCTGCTGGTGGACACAGACCATCTGGAGTTGAAGGGAATTTCCATGTGAAACTGTCAAATCTGGTTCTTGAATGATTTCTTAGAGATACAGTAGTTGTCTTGAGGTGAGTTCTGTGAAACAGCATCATGCTTATTTTCCCTTTATTCTGTCACGTCTTGGCTAACCAAGGGCACGGTCATCTCCTGCTAAAAGAAGTTTCAGTCCCCTTCCCATTAACTCTTTAATGATAACATTTCTCTTGTCTCTGCCTTCACGTTGCTTAGGAACCACTCGTAAGTAAGCAAAATCTGGATCACTGTTTTCTGTGGTTGATCGTGAAGAGCAGAGAGACAAACCAAAAGAGATAAACAGGACTCATATTTAAAAATAAAAATTAGGAGTGGGGGAGGGTATGGCTCAGTGGTAGAGTGCATGCTCAGCATGCACGAGGTCCTGGGTTCAATCCTCAGTCCCTCCGTTAACAATAATAATAAAAAAATGAAGATGTTACTCATGATGTTGAAAACTCTTCAGGCTGAGTACTTTCTAGTGAAAAGTAACGGGGAGCCCTTTCATTTAAGAAATTAGTAACAAGGATGAGGTACTCACAGATTCATACTGGAGAAAAATTAGTGGGTCAAATAATGAAAATAATTTATTTAGCCTGAAATGTCCCTGGACGCTTTGTAGCCACCTCAGGATTTCATCCTGTGCACAGTGATACATCTCGGGCTACAGATGGAAGATTATCTGACACAGGGCTGGAGTTCTGGAAGTTCATTCTCTAATTCAGGCATTTATCAAATTCCTCACCATGTTCATCCCTGGCTGTCTGTGCTGCCTTCAGGCAGATGCTCACCTATATGCACTTGCCTTCAGATCAGAAGCTCTAACTCAGTAGATCATGAATTATAGGCCTTTTCCTTTGTTCTCTAATGAAAGCCTTCCTTTCTCAAAAATGGATAAAGTTCTTCATATTCCATACATCAGTGACAGTACAAGATTATTAATTAAGGTGTTATTTTTTAATCTATATTTGCTAGCACTTTCTTTCAAGAAGTCCTAGTTTGAAAAAAAGTCACATGCTTCTCTAAAGATATTTCTGCTTTCTGGGAAAGTGTTCATATTCTTTATCATTTATGTGTAGTCTAAATTTTTCATTTTAATCATACTAAAGGTAGAAAGGTGATACATTTCTATATATTAACATCTCATTAGGAAGGCCGCTGTAGGACCAGGGTTCTGAGTGTCCTGCCTAAAGTTTCAGTGGTGGCCTTTAAAATGAAGAAGCCAGCTATCGCTGTAGCATCGAGACCAGAAAAAAATCAGTAAGAGGCTCACTTGTTTATCTCTTGCCTTCTTCCGTCACTGCATCTCTGTTGGCCATTGGAAGGCTTGAAGCAGTTATGTACCCACATTTTTACATATTCATACCCATCTTATTCTTTCACATGGACTATATTTATCTACCTGCAGATAGATTAACTGATCATATTTACATATATATGGTGGTAGCTATATGAATATTCTGCCCCAAAGGGTACTACTGGGCTGTTGACCCTATATTCTACCTACACTGTTTTTGTATATATTCTATCTTTCCTTTGAAAGTAGACTGTGCCCTCAGCCTAAAATACCTTTCTTACCTGCAGTCTCCTTATCACCTTCCTCCCTTTTGGACCCTGTCATGTGGATGAAGGGCTACTTGTATACATGCTTGTGTCTCAACCACGAGATTTTAATTCTTAGGAAACAGAGATTAGGGAGCTCTTATCACAGTCCTATTCACAATGACTAGCCTGCTGTGCTTCCCAGAGCAATCGTTTTTTTAACTGGTTATTTAATATGTGAATGGAAGTTGGAGAAACAGCACAACCCAGGAGTGAATAAGCCGTCCAAACACCATCCAGCCCCCTTTTCTCCCTTTCTCTCGCTAACTCCATGACAGGACACAGTTATTTACTGGGCTCCTTACAATCCTTCTAGGTGAAGAGGCTACAGAGATAATCTTGGGCAGAAATACTGGCCTGGCTGCTGTGTGAGACAGCTCCTGGGGGTACTAGTCGCCAGAATGCGTCATTGGGCTCCAGGGGGCGCCGTGCAGCCACACAAAGCAGCAGCCCTGATGTCGTCTTCTTTGCAACTAGATTAATGGTTCTTGAATATAGTTCAGAAATATTTCATATTACCATACCTACTGACAAAACATTCAGATAGCTTATAGTAAAAGAACCATTAAAACCAGGGTGAGAGAAGAAGAGTCAAGCTAGAAGGACAGTAGTTGTGTCAAAAGTCCTGACTGAGGAAAACTGCTAAAAGGCAGTATTAACCCAACCTTGAGTTCCTCCATAGCCAAAGTGAACAGAGGAAAAGATGGCAAGTTTTGTAACTTCCAGTGCAACAAAAAACAAAAATGATTCGTCTGAAGCTGCTAAAAAGAAGTATCCCTAAGCTCTAGGAAGTATTTATCATGTAGCTTTTTTTAATTAAAAACTAAAGTGAACACATATTTTTAATTAAAATATCAGTTTGTAAAATATGCAAAAACAAACCCCATTAAGCATTTTTAACACATCAACCCTTAATAAAATCTTACTTTATATATCTGTAGTTCCATGAAAGGATTTTTCATAGGGAACTAATAGCAATAGACTTCAGCTATAAGTTTCTGGTGATTTGTGTTGATACAGGGGTAGCGATTAGTAATCCGCAGAAAGTTCCCTGAGTATTGATTTGAGCAAAATCAGCAAGAGGAAACTTGGGAAAACACTTAGTCCTTTTCTAATTTTTCTCTTAGCAGAGCTGTTTTTATGGTACATTTCTGAGACAGGTACCTTTATATCAAAAGACTATTCAGTCTACTTCTTGAAATTCCCTGGGACCTAGAACCCAAATTGTCTTCTTCAACCCAGGAAAGCAAAGGGAAGTTACAGGTTTTACTCTTGGGAATTGGGTTTTACTTTGTCTTTGCCAAGCGTGTACTTCACTGCACTTGGTTTCCATCTTCTCCAGAATGAGAACAGTCTGGAAGGGGCTCGCTCCTCCCCTTCATCTTGGCCTCATGAACTCGACTCAGCACTCCTTGGGCTCTGTCTCAAAAGAGAAAGAAAAGAATTGCCATCTGTTCTGCAATTCTCCCCTGCCTGGCCTTTCTGAGCATGATTATAAATTTGACGTGTATCACTCACAATTCTTGAGCAGCTAGGAGGGCTGAGAAGCTCTCTGTGGAAATCTCCTGGGTGATTTTTTTTCATCATCCTGTTTTTGTCCCTTGTTGGATGATGCCTGGGCTCTGCGTATGCTGTAGATATCTTTGCATTTATCAGCATAAATACGATTGAAGAACTTCTCCAGAAGGTAATGAATAGGTTTGTCACTTTTCCAGTTGCATAAGTACCAGTCTGACTGAGACGATTACGTGGCCTGATTTGTGTGAAACGAAGCAGGTGGCCTCCATGTTCTGTTTTATGGGTTCGCAAAGTAATAGCCCAAAAGACATGAGAATGAAGAATGTCTGAAATACACAGTTACTGGGGGAAAGATGGCTTGTCAGAACCACACACAGAAAGGCTGCCACAGATATCTACAAACTGAATGAAACCAAAGGCTTCGTCGTCATCACAGTCAAGACATTTCTGTTTTCAGCAAGTCGAAACCACTGTTGCAGGGTCTGAGGTCGTACACCTGGGACAAGGTAGCATCTTAACAGCAAACCCAGCACTTCTTCATGAAACATCACTCCTTCTCCACACATTGGTGAGGACAGCTATAGCCCTGTATCTTCCAGTGTTCCAGAGGGAAGTAGAGCGTTGATCTGCTGTCGTTTAGGGCAGAGCACTCAGTCGGTAATATAGATAAAACCTGCTTTGTATTATTTTATGTGAAATAAATATAGGCATACTATTTCACCCACACTTCCCTTCAGCCACTCCCATGCCTGACCTGATAGGTCTTTGGATCATAAGAATACTATTAAGAGAAAAGGCATTCTAGAAATCCAAAGTAGAAGAATAGTAATTAACACCTTGTCATTGCATGGTGTCTTGAAGTTTTGGAAACATTCTCGCATCATTTCTTTTGATTCCCACAACAAGTAATAGTGAGGTGTTATTATTATTCCTTTTTGGCAGATATGGAAACAGGGTCCCCAAGGAGGTAAAGGGTGACAGAGCTAGTGAGTGGGGCTCAGCCTGAGGTCACGTGTGCCCCTTCTCGGAGGCAGCACGGCCGTCAAAGCTGCCCGGACCGCCGCATTCCTCTGGCTGGCACTGAACAAGGTGCTTGGCCTCACTCATCCTCATTTGGAAAGTAAATAATACTTATCTCAAAGATGAGTGACTGAGGTTAAATGAGATAATATGTGTGAAGGTTTACTTGTAACCTTTTTTAGTTGTTGTTTCTTAAGCCACAGAAGAGACCAGTCTCTGGTTATGTTACACTTCGTAACACTTCAACTAGCGCTTTTTCTAAAAACCCTCTGATCAATTTAAAGAAAACTTTAAAGCTGGGAAGGTCCAAACTTTGTTGTGAAACTTTTTTTGTGGATTTCCAGTTCTGTCTCCTTTCACTTACTCAGTCGTTCAGCCATTATTTCTTGACCACCTACCACGCGCCAGGCTACCATGTGAACAAAGGGTTCGTATTATTCAGGGTCCTGCCCATTTCTTTCCCAAACAAATGTTCTAATTTTTTAGTTTAATTCAAAGAGGAGCCTTGAAATGTTTATCTTGTCAAGGTTGAACTTGTGCTCATGAGCAAAAGTGACCACCAGCCCTCTGGAGGACAAAAGGAGGGTTTTGTGTACACTGTTGACAGTGCACTTTTAGGAGAAGCATCATCAGAGCTCACTGCCGAAAACCGTCACTGAAGAGTAGCATGTGTTTACGTGTAGCAGCAAGTGTGTGTTTGTGTGTAGCACGTGTCAGTAGTTCATGATGGCTGCTTTTGTATTTGAAGGTTTAGTAACGTCATCAGAGCCCACACCCGTCTGGAGTCAAGATACAGCAATAGTTCTGGAGGGTCGTACGATGAGGATAAAAGTAAGTATCAGCAGGCGGTGGGGTTCCTGATGGGATGCAGGTGGTTGGAGAATGGAAAATGAGTATCTTGGTTATTCTTGTTCTAATCACTAAAAAGGGGGCCCACAAATATTAAGCAGCCATGTCATCCAGCTACGCGAACGGGCAGAGAGTCAGCCTCTTATAAGTAAAAAAGAAGCCAAACAGTGCGTAAATCAAAATTATAAAGCTTCAAGCGACTACCCAAACCCGTATTTTTATATTCTTGACACTTTTCCTTGGTGATGCAGTTGGGGAAAGAATAATAAGAAATTGTCCCATTAGAAAACAAACGTTGCAGGTCAATTTTCCAGTCTGTCCTGGGAGTGGACTTAACCATTAAGCTTTGTGCGTCAGCTCAGCCAGGATAGATCTGTTTTCGCATTTGACTCTCTCAACAGCATGGTCTCAGTGGCCAAGTGAAACCCTCGCCAGACTGGGAGATAGAATTATCACAGAAATGGCACTGTACCTTGGGAAGTTAGGGAAACCGAAAAGGTCAGTGCATTCACTGATTTTGTTTAAGCCCTGGACAGGTTGTGTAGATACTGAGCAGGTAACGGGTGTTACTTGTTCACAAGTTACAGAAATTCTGGACCCAGGGAACACTCCAGTGACATTTAGGTATGCTAAGGAAATTGGTCAACTATCTGGTAGAACTTACCTATCTGTTTTGGTGGAAGTCATAATATGATGATATTTCATGAGTTAGGTTCATTTTGTAAGTCAGTGCATTGGAGCTTTGTAGTGGTGGTTTTGAATTGTTCTGTTCTTATGGGAAGTATGCAGGGTGATTTAAGAGCTAAGTAGTTCTGATGACACATTTCAGCTGCCCTTACTTTACTTCTTAGTGCATAGATATGTAATTCTCTGCCATTCAAATTACCCATGGAAGGGATATCTAAAATCCATATATAATTGCCATACTGGGTTAAGTTTTATCTATGTCTCTATAAAACCTTTTTCTAGAACTGTCAGTATGAGGTCAAAAAATAAAAAAAGCTATTTACATTTCCCCTCCTTTCTGTGTCCCATCTGGGGACTGTACCATCCAATCACCAATCAGTTGAATCCGAAAGCACAGACCATTGGTCTAGGCAAGACTAGATTTTACAGATGAGAAGAATAATGCCTGAGAAACAGAGAGTGTTAGTTTAGGAAAAGTCTAGTCCCTGTGCAGTATCTGGTAACAAAATCTGAGGGCAAATTAACTCATGAAAAGGTTAAGCAGTCATTTCCTGACTCCCCCAGAAGGTGACTGGCATGATGTAACAAAACATTACACTCTGTGAGGGTGGATTTTACTTTAGGAATATTGTTGTACTTCGGCCAGTTGATTCCTTCAAAGTGTATCTCTTTGTTCTGGGTACAGGACACAGAGTTTGGTAGAAACACTGTAACATAATAATAATCATGTTGAAAATACACCTTTAAAACCCTCTGGTATTAAAACTTCACATTTCTTATGTATTTTAAAATAGTAAATTTCAGAGAATAATTACAGCAAAATGAGATAATAATTATAATCATTATATAAACTCAGATCACTAACTTTAGGGACAAAAAGAAAAAGTAATAGAAGTATTTATAAAGGGAAAGAAAAACTAATGTGATTGCAGTTAAGGCATAAAAAGTAGTCTAGTATTATCATTATGGCCTCTGTTTTACCTAGAGATGTTTCTAAATTTGTTGTACTAGCATAAATAGCTTTAATGGGAAATTTTTGGTATAAAATTTGAATTTGATTGAGTCATGTGTCAATAATATTCTTCACATGGTTACTGATAATGACCAGAGAAGTCAGAGTTCACAGTGTGGAGTTTGGGCATTGAGAGCTCAAGTTCTAAATTACTCATAAAAGAAAATGAAATCAAGCTACTTCAACAGATCCTCCTCACAGAAAGTCCATAAAATACATGCTAAGATCCTTTTCCACTCAAGTGATAGTACTTGACTTTGGCTGTCTTATGAAGCAGCATGTCTGGCGGGGCAGGAGTTCCCGCAGGACTTTGGTAATGGGTCCTCCCTGATGCATTTTGGTTCCAGCTACCCAGTGATGAATGGAGCTTATGCCACGAGAGAGGCAAAGATTAGTAGGCTCAGTTCCAAAGCCTTATGGCCAGGCATCTGGTATATGTTAAGGGCAGTTATTTCCTCCCTGAATTCCTGAGGGTTTCAGCGGAGGCGAGGAGACTTTAAGAAGGGCTCAGGGGAGACCTCGTGGCCCAGTGCTTCGTAGTCTCGGTTTATCTGAAAAAGGACGGTGTGGCACCCTCTTAAATGTATTCACTATTTAAAACCCATACCACCTTGAGTAGAATGGACACGCAAACTGATTTTGATCTGGCCTATAAAGTAATTTTCTACCAATATTATGTAAACTTTTTGTTTTCAAAACTACTTAAAAATACCTGGATTATTTTCCAAGGCCGTACATATGCTCCTGGACGTAGTTGGATCCCCACAATAGGGACCCAGCTAGTTAAGCTGGGTAGCAGCTGAGTCACGGTGGTTTATGCCTAACTGTAGAAAACCAGTTTTAGATCAGCTTAATCCTTCTCAACATATTTTTGCTGATTGAATATATATCTGAGAACATCACTGAAACAAAAAAATAGCATATCCTTCCCTAACAGGAAAGGATTTCCTAACAGAAATCTCACAAGTTTTTCTTTTTTTTTTTGAATTCTTCAGCCTTCTCCCATTTTTGCTCCTCTTTCAAGTTTTATTGTAAAGTAACTAGTTACTTAGAAGTGCAATTTGCAACTAACTTATCCTGGATGCTTATTCAAGAAGTTAATTTGCTGAAAGTGAGACATCCTGTAGGTAGTTTACTGAGTGGACTAAGCTGAGTGACTGTGACACTCATTTTCAGTTTTTTTCTGGGCTAAGGCGGTGGCCAGGCTTCATGGTGTGGAATGACAGGGGTCTCCTTGGTCACTTGCTGGTGTGTTAGAGCCTGCAGTCACTTTCTGAGGTGACTCCTGGTCTTCCTCCTGGAGTTCACATCCGGGAGAAGTGGGCTATACGTGGGTTTCGTGCCCCACTGTGTTTGGAGCCCCAATTTCCACAACGGGAAGGCCGCCTCTCCACTAACTCTGCCAACGTTAGGACCAGCATTCACAGGACCAGCAGCACCAAATCAGCCACCTCGCACTACCTTCAAAGTGTAACCAAGAAAAACTGCATTTTGGAGAAATTGCCCAAGATGATGTAATCCCCCCTTCCCCTTGGTGCGCTAGAACCTCTCCCAGAATGAAGCCAGCTTGTCTGAAGACATATACGTGGATCGTATTATGTGGCCCCGAGCGTAACTGCTTGTTTTGGATGCCACTGGCCTATATTGAGAGCATGATAGGAAATAACTCCATGAGATTTGTTGCTGTGCTTATTTTAAAGATATTTTATTGAGGAAATTTGTTAATTCATTAAAAAAATTATGCATCGATCGCCTACTACATGCCAAATACTGCTCTCGCTACTAGGGAAACAACACTGAACAAAACAGAAAGTCCTGCTCTCGTGGGGCTTGTGTTGGTGGGGAGGCGGTCAGTGCCGGAGAATCTGGACCAGGGAGGAAACTAAAGCAGGACGAGGGGAGAGAACGCAGTTGGGAATGGGGGTGGGTTTTAAGTACAGTGGTCACGGAAATTCTCTATGATAAAGTGACGCTTCGGCAGCAACTTGAATGGAGTAAAGGGGGAGCCGCGCAGCCGTCGGGGGAAGAACACTGCAGCCACAGGGACCAGTGGGACGGAGCCTGGCCAGGTCACAGAACAGCAAGCAAGCCAGGGTGACAGTGCAGTGGGAGATAAGCCAGGAGAGTGACAGGAGGAGGATCTTGTCAGGCCTGCAAGGCCATGGTGTGGATTTGGGGTTTCCTTTTGAGTGTGAAGGGGAGCCACTGGAGAGTGGAAAGCAGAGAAGGGGACTTGAATTAGCTTCTGTTTTAAAAGGATGGTTCTGGCCACTCTGTAGAGAATAACCTCTAGAGGGGCAAGGATGGAAGCAGGGAGACAGCAGGCGGCTCTGATTCCTACGAGAGATGGTGATGGCTCAGCCTAGGGTAATAAGGTGACGGTGAAAAGCGGTCCCATCCTGGATACGTTTTGAAGTAGAGCTCACTGACTATGTTGATGGTGGCAAGCTGCTTAACCTTAGTGTCCCCTCTACAAAGCAGGGGTAACAGGTACCTCTGATGGGGCTACTAATACGTGACGTGTGCAGACCAGCGCCTGGCATGAAGCGCGCGCTCTCGGTGTTAGTTCTGGTAGTGCAGAATGGTCAGTTCATTACCACTCGCATATCGTCGTCATCACCATGAGCAGAAGTTGGGTGTGAGGTAAGAGAGAAGTCAGGGAGGAGTCCTGAGCACGCTGGAAATACGGAATTGCATTTTACTGAGAGAGGGAGATTAGAGAAAGAGCAGCTTGTCCCGGCAATGGGAATCCACGTGATTTCATGGTTTTCTTTTTGCGTATCTGTATTTTCCATCACTCTCTAATGAATAACTATAAATTAGGGACCCAAGACATAAAGGGATGGAAGAAACTTAATCAAGTAATTCTACCCATTTGATCATATGATTTCACACTCACCAAATGGAATGGTTAGAAAGTTATTTTTACAAGCATGAATTTGTAAGTTTCCTTCTAAAAAGTCAAGTAGGGAAAACAAAAATCTTCTCTCCCTGAAAATAAAGCCCTCTTGCCTCTCTCGTGCTGCAGATGACCCAATTTCTCCCTATACGGGCTGGCTGCTGAGCATCACAGAGACCAAACAGCCACAGCCCTTACCCATGCCGTGTACCGGAGGGTGCTGGGCCCCCCTGGTTGACTACCTCCCAGAGACCATCACGCCGCGGGGGCCGCTGCACAGGTGAGTAGCATGTACAGGTAGAGGGAAATGACCACTTAGCTTTGACGGGACTTTTCTTCCTATGAAAACAGAAACTTATTCCAGGTCCCATCAAATGAAATGCTCTTTGACATCAGAGAGAACACGCGTGACTTAACTGCAGCTCTCAGCCTACGGGCAGAGTTTGGTTGAATATTAACCAGTGCGCAGAGCTGCCTGTAGTCCTTTGAAATTTTCCCTGATGTAATCTTGGTATGGGTATTCATTCTGTTATGCTTTTTAAGTTTTGAGCCCCTTGCAGACAGAGCCCTGGCCTTCTATTTCTCTTCATCCCACGGCGCTTACTGCCTAGAGACGAGTAGACTCTGCATTCTATGATTAGCTCGACTGATGTTTCTTCTGCTTGTAGAACTCTGTGCTCTGCCAGAAGCTAAGCTCCATGTCCCTGAATAAAGGTTTTACATAATTCTTCAATGAGGCTTAAGAGTTGGATTTAATTGTGACTTAATGATCTAACAGTGTATTTTCATCCTCTTCAGAATTGCATTAATGTCATCATTTCATTGATTAGGTGCAATATTGCTGTGATTTTTATGACTGAGATGGTGGTGGATCACAGTGTAAGAGAAGACTGGGCTCTTCACCTCCCATTATTGCTCCATGCTGTCTTCTTAGGTAAGACTTGATGGAATAGGAATTCTAGCCAATAGGGTCAAAAACCTATAGCAGTAATCCATAGAGCTTTCCTTTTACACTGACATCCTGCTTTTCCCCATGTCTGCAACATCTAGTCTCTTCTGGTTTTCACTGTCTTTTTGTGACATCTTTAAAATTTCAGTTGACCAGTCACTGTTTAAACTTGCCTGATTACCGCAGTATAGAGTGGTACCTCGCTCATGCTATTACTATAAAGATATCCAAGACAAGTTGGGCCTCTTTGAGGGTCTTTGGTTAGAAGTGATAAATTTAAAGTCATGAGTGCAGCCAATTTGGAAAATAGTATGGGGGTTCCTCAAAAGACTAAAAATATACTTAGCGTATGATCCAGCAATCCCACTTCTGGGTATACATCTGGAGGAAACTCTAATGCGAAAAGATACATGCTCCCCAATGTTCCTAGCAGCACTATTTACAACAGCCAAGACATGGAAACAACCTAAATGTCCATTGACAGCTGACTGGATAAAGAAGTTGTGACATATTTATACAATGGAATACTACTTAGCCATAAAAAGGAATAAAGTAATTTCATTTGCAGCAACATGGATGGACCTGGAGACTGTCAGTCTAAGTGAAGTAAGCCAGAAAGAGAAAGAGAAAAACAATATGATATCACTCATATGTGGAATCAAAAAAAAAAAAAAGACACTATGAACTCATCTACAAAATAGAAACAGACTTGCAGACATAATAAACAATCTTATGATTTCCAGGTAAAGGGGGTAGGAAGGGACAAATTAGGAGCTTGAGACTTACAAATGTTTGCCACTATACATGAAAACAGATTTTTTAAAAGTTTCTTCTGTATAGCACAGGGATCTATGTTCAATATCTTGTAATAACCGTTAATGAAAAAAATGAAAATGAATATATGTATGTATGTGCATGACTGGGACATAGTGCTGTACCCCAGAAATTGACACACTGTGATTGACTGTACTTCAATTAATAATAATAATAATTTTAAAAAAACAAAGCCATGAGAGACAGTCAGTGCAGAGAGAGGAAGAAGATAGAGCACAGTGGACCAAGGAGTGAGATTTTAAAATACCCAAGTTGCAGAGCGAAAAAATGGAGAGAGGAACCAAGCAGGGAAACTCAGAAATTCAGTTAGAAATAGAATGAGAATCCTTCAGTAACAGGGAGAGCCAGGGAGGAGACCGTCTCAGGAAGGAGGAATGCTAACCATGTCAGATGCTACAGGGAGGTCAGGAAAAGTCCACCTGTCAGCATTTTACAAGAACGTTTGATTTAAGGAATAAAACATTTTATTTTCCCTAAGCCCAGCTTCTTTATGTCGGTAACACAAACAATAACAAAGAAAACTAAACATTCTTTGAACGTGTTCCTGGCGGGTGTCTTGGAATCCTTACTATCCCTGGAATCTGAACGAGCTGAAGATTTGTTTATACTAAGAGATTCCGCCGTTTTGTTCCAGGTTTGGACCATTACCGGCCTGAAGTCTTTGAACACAGCAAAAAATTGCTTCTGCACCTCCTGATTGCCCTCTCCTGCAACAGCAGTTTTCACACCATTGCTTCTGTGCTCCTGCAGACTCGAGAGATGGGGGAAGCTAAGACCCTGACAGTTCAGCCAGCCTACCAACCTGAGTATCTCTACACAGGTAACCAAAGGAGCGACAGGGAGCCCATGACAGAGTCACAAACATGAAGATAGCTAGAGGTGTCACTGGAGCCCAAATTAACTCTTCTAAGTGCTGTTAACCCTCCCCCAGCTTTCGAAGTGATAGAATAACAGCGCGGTAAACCTGCGCCATTTCACTTGATGTCAACATGCCTCTCAGAATCCTTCTTCGTTAGTTAATATTTTCAAATAGATGTTTTAAATTATTATCATGATTGCTGTTTCATAAATATGTTCCATAAGTACACTCCTATTGTTGCGTTGGAAATTAAAATGTCCGTTGGCCAAGAGTATCAGTCTGGAACCCTGAAGAAGGAGAATGCAGAAAACAGGGCTTGTCCTCATCACCTTAAGGGCAGGCATTGCCAAGGTGCCAGATGTTTCACTACGTACCTTCTGGTTCCCCTGAAGGGATCTGTTAAATGACTGACTTCTCTGGAAGACACCATTAGTGGAAGTCTATTAAAAATCATTGCTGTTCTGAAACCAAAAATTTCTTCTTAGAAATGAGAACAGAAAGCATTAGCTGAGTCAAAGAAATTACTCTGTTGTGTCCAGCTACTCATGAAAACTTTCCCAAAGGGGCTGACCAGCCGTTTTCATTTAGAACCAGAATATGTAAAATATCTTAAAATGATGATGAACTAGCAGAGTCCTGGGGCTACTTTTCTTTACCTAATTATTTTGTCCATCACATTGGCACTGGGTTATGGTATGGTGTTTCATGTGTTACCACGTACTTCCTTCACTGCCTTGAAAGGAAGGACCTTTTATTCCCCGCTTGTGCTACTGCCCTGTCTTGTCTTCTGATGGATACAATAGTCACATATTCCTTTGGAGAACAAATCTGAAGTCGTTAACTCTGAGACGTGGGACTACTGATCTCCTCTTTATTTTGAACCAAGCTACACTTGATATTAATCCATCAGTAGCCTCTCAGAGACACAAAACTATTACAGATACTTAATTAAAAAACCAAAGACTCTGGCTGTCCTAACTCCCCAGGATAGGGATATATTCCATTAAGCACATGGCCTTAGAGTGAGAAAATTGTAGTCTCTGTTAAGCTGTGGATGTCTGAGTGTCTCAGTTTCGCATTCACTCTACCACTGATGTGGCATAAAGTGGTTTAGAGTGGGGATTTACAAAGCAAAACCAAACACAACATACTATAGACAAGACAAATAAAAAATAGCCAAAAAATTTGGATAGCTCAAATGATTTAATCTGTGGTTCACATGGACTGAGTGTACAAAAAGTTTGAGAATTGTCTACTGTTTATAAACATTTGTTAACTATTTATTGAATATCCCGTTTCAACTATAGTTGCTTTCAAATCCGTACTAAAAACCTATGTGATAAAAATTATTATCTTCATATTATTTTAATAAGAAGCTGAGATACAGAGAAGTTACATGACTCCCTGAGATCACACAATAGATGGCAGAGATAATATGCAGACCCAGGGCTTCTTCTCATTTAACGTATCTGTCAAACATACCAGAACCATGGACTTTTTCTGGTTATTGAGTAGGAGAAAAGGGATGGTCATGGGTATATATTTTCAGACCCACAGCCCACCCACCCGGAGATGTAGAATGCTAACTGTAGTATTCGCTTACCTATTTCTTTGACTGCTTTGAAACATACTTTATTAAAAATATATTAATATACACATAATATTTACAATTCTGGTCACATTTACTCATAACATTATGTGTAACTTACTCATTGCCGTTCGGTGCTGGTATCCTCAAAAGTGGTATCGTTTCACTCAGTTAGGTAGTCTATTATCCAGGTATAATTTACTAACAGCGCCCTTGGGTCCAAGTGTTTAGTAGTGGACCATTCATCAGCCTGTGCACGTGTGCGTGCATGCACCCACAGACACGCACACTCTTGTTTGCAGAAAGCATCAATTAAAACCCCAGAGTAGAAAATAGCAGATGACCTTCTATTACCAAGTGCGCTGTAGTTTACACAGCAGTGCAGCAATTCCATAAGCAGAGAAAAGAGTATCAGTCTTGTTTAATCACAGCCATAGTCAAAATCAAGTGTTTTTTCCAAAAAATTTAAATAACTAGACACTTCTGTATGCACACCTGACCTCATTAAGTGCATGGCCTGCACACTCCACCTTGACCTTGTCTCCCACCAGGTGGCTTTGACTTCCTGAGAGAGGACCAGTCATCCCCGGTGCCAGACTCGGGGCTGAGCTCCAGTTCCACCTCCTCCAGCATCAGCCTCGGGGGCAGCAGCGGGAACCTCCCACAGATGACCCAAGAGGTGGAAGATGTGGACGCAGCTGCCGAGACAGACGAGAAGGCAAACAAGCTCATTGAGTTTCTGACGACCAGGTAATGAGGGGTCGGGAGATAGGCCGCTGTTTTCAGGTCCATCTTTGGAAAAGTGACATCACTCTAAAACCACACAGATGGAAGAGTGGGCCAGAAGTTCCAGCAGAGCCTTGTTTCTCTTCTGAACTGTGTCTGCTGGAGTCTGCATACCAGGCAGACGCTGGTAGACGTTGTCTAAGAGCCCACTTATGTCACACTTGAGGGGCAAGGAGATTTCCTAATACAGTAACCACGCAGCAGATGGAGGGAGGAGACAGTAGCACTCCGAGGTGAGCATGACGTTAATCATCTATAGAGCTGCCAGGATCTGCGAGTTCTGAGACTCAGCACAGAACGTCACTCTGGAAACCAAAGATAGGAGCCGTGGTCGACCTGGAGGGGACCACTGTCTGCTCATCTAGTCCAAGGAATTATTTATAAATGGCAGTCAGAAACCAGAAACAATATGACGTATGATGGGAAAGGAATCAAACTAATAATAAATCAAAATTATGAAAAACTGTGAGCCATCCTGTTTTTCCAGGTTTTCTGGTTCTTCTTGTGAACACTTGAGCTTGTAAGGTTTCTGAATCTCTAGTTCCCTGAGGTCCGGTATTTGTATAAACACACGCTTACCTGTGACCTGGGGTGTGCTGTTTTTCCTCCGTGAGTTAAGTCCTGGAAGTCTAGTCTACATGTGTGTTTGTTACCTAGGACCTTACCTGATTTTTCTTTCTTCAACTAAGGTTATCAATGCAAAAAGTAAAAAGAGAGCGTTTTCTTTTTTCACTTGATGATTTAGGGTGTTCTGTGCAGCACTCAGCTCAGTACAGGATTTAGTGTATAGGGTGCTCAGGAAGGGGGCTGCTGGTGCCTCCATGCAGGGTCCCTCAGAGACCTGACTGGTTTGTGCAGAAGAAGGGTACTGTCACCACTCACAGCTGTCAGTGCCACGTGCTGGGAAGGGCGTTCTCTGAAATTCTCACACCTGGCTCCATCCCGTTCCCACATTGTTAAAAAACAGATAAGAGAGATTGCGTCTTCAATTTGGTTCTACTGTGTCTGGCAAACTAATGAAGTGATCCTAATAAAAGCATTATCTCTGCAAATTCTACAGTGTATAAATTGAGTCTGTGTCTAAATCTGTATTTTATTTAATTTGTTATATCATTCTATCTAACACTTACATAGCACCTATTATAAGCTAAACACTGTCATGGTGAATTGAGAGGTTTTAATTTTGCAGGGTTTTAAGTTTGTAAAACATAAGAAAAAGTATGTCTGTCAATTAGCTGAATCTGTTTTGAGTATGCTCTTAAGCCTTATAAGACTGAAATTTACCAACAAATTAATAAGTAAAAATTTCAAAACGTATGTTGCCCCTTTGGAGTTAGAATTGTGTATATCATTTTAAAAATGCAAAAGGATAGTTACATTTTTGATATTTTGTGTGTTTTCTTGAAGGGCATTTGGTCCACTTTGGTGCCATGAGGACATCACGCCCAAAAATCAGAATTCAAAGAGTGCTGAACAACTCACTAACTTTCTACGTCATGTTGTGTCCGTGTTTAAAGATTCCAAATCAGGTACTTCTTCCTACTTCCCCAAATCCCACTGTCAGCATTGTTCCATCATGGAGCTCATCCTCCCCATATAACTACACACCATTACGTCTGTCTATTTGTCTGTCTGTCTAGCTATACATACATATATATATATACACACACATACATATATATATATATATATACACACACACACACACACATACATACATACAGATATACTTGTATATGTGTGTATATATAATCCTGCATTTGGCATCAGTAGGAAAGGAAAATTCACAGGGGAGTTTTGAAGCTTTTTCAGATGTCCTAGCTGAATGATAGCTAATGCCCCATATACTTGCATTCCATTCTGTCAGATAATCTCCCCCAAATCACTCTTCTTGCTTCATTTACTTCAGTAGAATTAAACTGTGCCAATATTAATTTTATTTAAAGAAGGTCATGCATGAGAAAGAAATCTTATTCATTGACTGTGATTAGACTCAACTGTGAGAAACTGTCAGCCTTGCAAACTGGTTTTAAAAAAAATTTTGTGATAAATGTTTTGCCAACAGGTCCTGTGCCAGTGACCACTCAGTATTCCAAACACTGTGTGATTCTAATTTAGACTACAGCAGCATCATAATATTTAAGCCTTTAGCTGAATTCCATTCAGATTCAACGTGGCCTGGGCTGATATGTGTGTGAAGTTGAAGTTTGGTTCCTCAGCACGATACAGCAGAGATCCCTGCCTTTGTTCACACAGCAGGCTGACCATAGTAAATACCGCTTGCCAGCTCTCCTGGCTGCTCTGTTGATTGGCACATTTCACAGTTTGAAACATTCCAGATTAGCCACTTCTCCTTTCAATGTCAGGGGATGCTTACTAAAAAACAAGACATACTGGTAAACCAAAATAGGAAAGGAGTTCCAGGAATAGGACTGTCATTTCTTGTTTTGAGTTTCTACTTCACAACTTCTTTGAAATATTAAGACCTCTTATACTGGTATTTCCCCCACTTAAAAGTCACATGGTAGCCCAAAGGAAGAAATTTACTGTTTGCATATGAACTGTTCATTTCTCTAAAAGGCTTGATTGTATGACGATACTAAAAATGAGAAAACAGTTGACTGCCTTACAGTGTATTCTCAAAGGATGCTTCAGGCTGCTTAGAGTCTAAATCTTTTCACCTTGCCCAAGATGTTTTTACCCACTACCACTTCTTTGTACATTGCCGCTGTCTGCCTGTTCCCAGTGTAGTGCAGTAAAATGTATTCCAGGAAACACTCGTGTTAGTCAGGGTAGCAGGAACAACCCTCGCAGCTCAGAGACCTAACACAGTAGGCCGTTTCTGGATCATGTAACAGTTTCATGCGAACGTTTGGCCAGCAGCCTTCCACCCGGTGCTTCGGGGACCGTCCACCCTGCGGCCCTGCCACCCCCGAGGCGCAGAGGCCCCCACTTGACCCCCCGTGTCTGTCGGGCGGGCGGAGGAGGAGAGCGCGTGGAGGAGATGGGGGAGCTCACGTGCCGCCTCGAACGCGCGTTCCCGCGCTTTTCCCGCACTGCGTGGCCCGGGCTCAGGGGCCGCACTGACAGCAAGGAGGGCCGGGACACGTAGGTGCACTGTGTAACGGGAGAAACACGATGCCACCTGTTACGCAGCTTTTCCCGAAGGATGTTGTCGCGGCGGGGGAGGGGTCTGCGGTCCGACTAGTACAGTTCCAGCGTTGTGATTTAAATCAGCCTCTGGTCATTGTCAGGGGACGTGACCCCTACGTGTAAAATGGCTTAAGTAGGAAAATACTGTTTTGAAAAGCAAAATAAAGATATAAAGAACTATTTTGAAACATGATCTAGTCATAAGTGGTGAATTGCCTGTATGGCTTAAATCCTGTTGCTACCCTGAATGTATCCAGTCCACATTCCAGGACCCTTTGTTTGCGCTGCAGGAATATTTTCTTACATAGGGGGTGTGTCCCTAGGGTCAGACAGCCAAGCGGCAGCTGGGAACAGTGACACCGAATTGTCCCTCCTGGTCCACTTCCGTGGACAATCTGATGTGCCGCAGGGCCCGCAGACGGCGGAGACAGCCCAGATAGCCCAAATCCCTGTTTAGATCACGTCCTCTGACTCTTGTAGCCTGGTTTTCTCCCTGTAAAGAGGCACAGCCAGCGTATGGTTGAATGGCCCAGAAATCAATCAGGGGGCTTCCCCTTATGTTTTCATTTCAGTCTGATCAAATGGTTTTCTGATGACTGAGATTATTTTCGTGCCATTGGAAGAGCAAATACTCAGGCGAAAGTTTAAATGATGCCTGTCTCCTCTGCCGCGCCTGCGTCTCCGTATCTGCCCACTTGTGGACTGTGCTGAAGAGCAGCCTTTGGCCCGGGCTGACCAGACCCGGGAACCGCTTTCCTCTGTATACACAAGGACTCTGAAAATTTGCTTCTAACAAACTCTCGTAGGGAAAAAAGGAGTGAAAGTCCCCCATGTAAAAAGCAGTACAGAAGGACAATGTCCAGCAATAGCAGGGTAATAAATAACAATGCATTTGTGAGCCCATATTGTATGTCAGGCACTGTACTGAGCACTTTTTAAGTTGTGTGATTTTTCACAACTCTTTGAGATAGATGCCGTTATTCACAAGGTAAAGACAAGCAAAGAGGCTCACAGAGAACCAGTGTCTTTCCCAGAGTCCCAAATCCTTATTCACAACCGAGACCATCTTGTTCTAAAGCTTCTGACGTTTCTGCTACACGACACCTCCTTAAGATTTATTCAGATTTGGTTTCTATTTTTAAATGGTTGATTTTTAAATAAGTGCCACTAGGAGGTAGCTCTGTGCGGTTAGCCTGTTTTAAAAGTACTGGTAAACCGTGCCCTGCGGTTTGCAGAGGAGCTGACCTGCTCTCCGGCCCCTGTGCCCTAGGTTTCCACCTGGAGCAGCACTTGAGTGAGGTTGCGCTGCAGACGGCCCTCGCCAGCTCGTCAAGGCACTATGCCGGCCGGTCCTTCCAGATATTCCGGGCCCTCAAGCAGCCTCTGTCAGCACACGCCTTGTCTGACCTTCTCTCGAGACTGGTGGAGGTGATTGGGGAACACGGAGATGAGATTCAGGTATGGAAGCAAAGCCCACTGAACCCACCCTTCTCTCATCACAAAGATGAGGAGTGAACAGCTTTCATTGTCCTCTTCCTCTCACCAATTACCCCAGCCATCTGGACATGTGTATTTTATTAACAGCATTCTAGAGGTTGACTTTCACTTTTACAAAAGTCACTGCAAGAAACATTGTTCTAGAATTCAGTGCACACCATCTTATTGAGCCAAAAACTAAAATCCTTCAGCAACTTCCTTTGTTGTTTTTGTTGTTGTTTTTATTTGGCAGAGTTGGGGGGAGTTATTTTGTATTGTTTCGTCTTTTGACTCCTACCCTAGGGTGCAGTTGTACAATCTCCCCGCCCAGAGACGGGATCTCCATTGTATCTATGCAAAGCACCAGCCCTGGCTGTATGGCTAGCCTTCCGTAAACAGAGGAAAGCCAAAGAAATAACAGGCAGAATAGCTGCCACAAGAAGCCCCTGTGGACTGGGGGCCCCAGAGACTGAGGAGCTGGTCAGGTGGAAAGCCAGGGGCGTTACAAGCTCTGTAGCTGGGGTTGAGCCCCTCTTTTCCATCAGCAACGTCCCTGCATCTCAGGGGGCCCGCACACCCGCAGGCTTCAGCTTCTTTTCCTCCTTCTGGCCGTCGGAGGTGCTGTTTAGAATGCCACTGAGACACAGCCCTTCTCACACTTCATCTCTTAAACTCTGGCTTTTGGATGTTGCCACTTGGTATTTCAAATACCCACCATCTCCCCTGGCAAGGGGCTTGCCCCCTGTAGCCTCGCCCCCTCCCTGTCAGATTTCAGATGAGACTGATCAGTTGAAGACCATATACGTAGGGAAACAAATGTTCATGATGATCCGCTAACTCCTAAGCCATCTGAATTTCCTCAGTGGCCCTGAAATTTTGTTTGTAGACTTTGTAAATTAAAGCTTCCATGACTATCTAGCTTTCAATGATATGACCATTATTTGAGTAAAGTTTGCATTAATTAAGTTTACCTTCCAGAAGTTAACAATATTATAAACAGTTCAAAATGTTGTCTTTGCATGTTTGGCAGGGTTATGTAATGGAAGCACTCCTTACCTTGGAAGCTGCTGTCGATAACTTGTCTGACTGCTTGAAGAACAGTGATCTCCTAACTGTATTATCTCGGTGAGAATCAGCTTGTTGACATTTTGAGATCAAATACACTGTACTGAATATGTGAGAGATGCCTGAACTTTGGGCAAAGACTAAAGAACAAACCTAGCTTTTGAAGTCTGTTTATAGCCCAAGAAAGTATGTATGACATTTCCTTAAGTTAAAAAAAGGAAGTTAAAACACACACACATATATACACAGTATATGAGAATTTTAAAACATTGGAAAATAGACATTAAATGTTATTTCTAAATAATACAAATATTAATGATTTTTCATGTCCTATCTCTGAGTATTTTTTCAAATTTTATGAAATTATACTATTTATTACATTTAGAGAAACAAAGTATTATTTTTTAAATGACTGTATACAAAACTCTTCTGTTCCATTACTATAAAATTAGATGGAATAAATGTTGATTTTACTTGAAGAAATTTCTACCTGAGGATTTCTTTTTTTATTTTTTAATTCTTTTTGCTTCTGCCAATACTTTATAACCCATTTAAAATCATTTACAATTTTGTTGTTCTGTTTGTGTAATTAAGCTCATCTTGCTTGAAATTGAGTCAGTAATGTTATAGCACATTGGGCCTTGTTTCATTTTTAAGTTGAACATTTTTATGGATCAGTAATTTTAGTGTGATTACTAACATCATGCATATTTTTCTGTATAGACCTTCAGATTTATCTAAATAAATATCTTTTCAGCCTGAAATACTTAGAAATCATTTTCATAAATTTTTATAACTGCAAAAAATTTCCTTTGACACAAACATTTACTGACTTTTTTCTTTCTAGGTATTTCTATATCTGTTCTTTTTTACCAATTAATAGAATATTAACATTTGTACCTATAAGATACATTTTATTTTATAATTACTTTTGCCCAAATTCAAACAGAAAAATAAATGAAAGATCAGTAAACTATACAGCCACCTGCTTATTTCTTTAACTTTTCCATAAGTAGAAGTCCATATTCGGTTTTGTTGTTGTTTTTTTGGTGAGGGTGGTTCTGGTTAAGTTTTGTTCTCCATAGCTTTATGTTTAAGAAGGAATAAGGAAACATAAGCTCTAAAATATGGAAAAATGAATAGAAAGTAATATTTTCAAAGAATGATTTCCCTCCCTTATTGTTTGTTGGTGGATCTTAAAAGGACTGGCTTTTCACTGAAGCGTGTTGGTTCCTATGGAACTTTTTTATTTTTATACCCAGCTCTTCATCACCAGATTTAAGCTCTAGCACTAAACTAACAGCCAGCAGAAAGAGCACAGGACAACTCAATGTGAACCCTGGAACAGCCAGCGGCAACACAGCGACTGCAGAGCGGAGCCGGCATCAGAGGAGCTTCTCTGTGCCCAAGAAGTTTGGTGTTGTTGACCGATCCTCAGACCCACCTCGGAGTGCCACCCTGGACAGGATTCAGGCCTGTACCCAACAAGGACTCTCCTCCAAAACCAGAAGCTCATCCTCCTTGAAGGACAGCCTCACGGATCCATCGCACATAAACCATCCAACCAACCTGTTAGCCACCATCTTTTGGGTCACAGTGGCCTTGATGGAATCTGATTTCGAGTTTGAATACCTAATGGCCTTAAGGCTGTTGAACAGACTGCTGGCTCACATGCCACTCGATAAAGCCGAGAACCGAGAAAAACTTGAGAAACTCCAGGCACAGCTCAAGTGGGCAGACTTCTCGGGGTTGCAGCAGTTGCTACTGAAAGGATTCACCTCCCTCACCACCACTGACCTTACCCTGCAGCTTTTCAGTTTGCTGACACCAGTGTCCAAAGTATCCATGGTGGATTCATCCCAAGCCATTGGTAAAGCCCACGTCGCTCACTCTCTCACAACTCTGGTCGTGGCTGGGCTCCCGTTTAGTGTAACGAGATATTGTGGGCTTAGTGCTTTTAATAGTTCTGCTGGGAAATAGATCTTTGGGAATGGTTTGTTTCTTCTTTGAAAATTCCATGTAAGTCTTAATTATGTTTATTATAGAAGATATTTTGAAGGCAGTAGCATAAAAGGGGCAGGAGTAATATGCAAGGTATTAGTCATTTCTTTGTGCTTTCCAGAACAAACTTCAGATCGTGTTTGTTTATTCTGTCGTTCTAGTACAGACATTTTTTTCCCTTTTTTTCTTAACTCCTGAGTCTTTTATTTTTCTTAGTCTTTCCCTCTTGAAAATTTCCCTGGTTCCCGATTGTTTCGAATTAAGCCAAATCAACAAACCAGGTTTTTAATACCATGGCACATGGCCCAGAATTCTTTCCAAGAAGCTAAAGCTTAACACAGTGGGACTAATCTACTCCTTATCATTTTAGAGAATCTTTGGTTACATGAGTAAGACTTCAACTGATTGGCCCATGTCTTCTCAAACAGGTTTTACTTAAAGTACTTTTTTTGATAAAAATTTCAAACTAGGGTTTTAGTTCATTTCAATCCATTTTTTAAAATCTGTGCCAATCATTCATATTTACAACTGTCCAGAGCAAGACAGCCACTGTATCTGAAAATGATAAATCTACTTCAGTGCCTCCTTTGAACCGGTTAGTTTAGATTTTATTTTAGTCAGATTACAGTGGCTTCAAGAGACTGCTTTTGCATCACCTCAGAATAAAATCTATAGTATGCCTTCCTACTGTTCGCGGTTATAATGCACCCTATTCACCCATCTCCATTGTATCTTCTCTAATCCAGGGTTTCCACTGAATGTCTTATGTCTTCTGCCCCAGCTGATACAGCATTTTGAGAGCCCAAATCAGTTCTGTAAGGATGTAGCCGAAAGGATTGCTCAGGTATGACCTACAGCTCCACCCTCAGACAGACCCATACCAGCCTTCAGGAAGGCTCCACTGATGTCAGGCAGGCATTACCGGGCCCAGGCAGAGCGACTGAGTTTCATAAAACCTGAAAATCACAACTGATACTGCTAGTAATTCACACTCCTGGGGGGCTGAATCACATTGCCACATCATTAATGAGAAAGCAGGGGGAGGGGAAGGAGGAGGGTATAGCTTAGTGGTAGAGTGCATGCCTAGCATGCATGAGGTCCTGGGTTCAATCCCCAGTACCTCCAACAACAACAACAACAACAAAAACAGTAAATAAATAAACCTAATTACCTCCCTCTGCAAAAAAAGAAAGCAAGCAAGCAAGCAAGCAAGCAGATGGAAAAAAAATTGTGAAAATTAAATTACTAAGCACTTCTGCAGCTACCCAAAAAACGTATCCATGAGTTTTCCAGCCTGCCGAGGCTTACAGCAAAATTGCTAACACTTCTTCCTTGTCATCAGGCGATTTTATCCCTAATTGATTTTCTCCTTGTAAAAGGTTTGTTTGGAAGAGAAGAACCCCAAACTTTCCAATCTTGCGCACGTCATGACTCTTTACAAAACACACAGCTACACGAGGGACTGTGCCACGTGGGTCAACGTGGTCTGCCGGTACCTCCATGAAGCGTATGCTGACATCACCTTGAACATGGTGACCTACCTGGCAGAGGTAAGCTGTTCAACCAAGGATAAAACCTACTCTAGTTTCTATGGGCAAAATACATAATTTAGAACTGATAATAATACTCTTAATTACATTTACTGAGCATCTATTATATATTATCATACGCTGTAGGAAAACATTTTAAATCCTCATAGCAACTCAGTGACGTAGCTATTATCACAACAGGGGATCTGAAGCTCAGCCGGGTTAAATAATCTGTCACAATTTTAAGGTGACAGAGCCAGACTTTGAACTTAGGTACAAAAGCTTAAACTCAATTTTTACTACATTAATACCTGTCTGCACATGGCAGAGACAAGGGAATTTTATCCTGATTATTCTGGGTCTTCAAATCCTATTTAAAGAGTTACTGCGTGGCTTGATATGTTTAATGGTTGTTTGCTCTGAACTCATTAACCAAGCATATATTTTTGAAAAGAAAAATTTAATCTCCATCTTTTGTGTTTTGTTTTTAAAACTGGAATGGGATTTTTGTCCTCTTACAAATGTGTTCCCAGCACGTTTGTTACAAACCCCTACTCTGACGTCTGTGTACATTGGTGCTAGAAATAACACTGCATTGGGCAAGTGATGAAGTGTATTCTGTTTAGCACCTTCGGACCTCAGCTACTTTAATATACAAGGTCACAAAATTTACGAGGCAAGTGATTAATAGCTGTTACCTTGTTTTTGCATTTTCAGCATTGCTTTTCCTTTCTGGAAATATGCATTTATGCCTCTTGCTAGGGCCTTTTCAGAAGTGATCAGGACAGTCCATGCTGATTTTTCTTTCAGTTATACCACCAATTCAGGGTACAGATAGGTTAAGAATCAGTCATTTTCTTAAAGGCTCCATCAGACTGAAAGCCTCGACCTGAAGAAGGTAGCTGCCCCATCCATTAACAGTGATAGCTGATCTCACAGGATTTTTATTTGTAACACAAATCAGCAGTGTTGCGCAGTATTCAAACTGTCAGCAGCCAAGGATTCACTTGCTCTTTCCATACCCCCATCCCTAGCATTTAAAGAATCTCTTTTATGTGGAAAAAAAGGAACCCTCCTATACTGTTGGTGGGAATGTAAATTGGTGCAGCCACTATGGAGGACAGTATGGAGGTTCATAAAAAAACTAAAAATAGAGTTACCATATGATCCAGCAACCCTACTCCTGGGCATATATCTGGGGAAAACTCTAACGTGAAAAGATACATGCACCCCAGTGTTCATAGCAGCACTGTTTACAATAGCCAGAACATGGAAGCAACCTAAATGTCCAGCAGCATGTGACTGGATGAAGAAGATGCAGTTTGTGTATATGTATCTGTATCTATACATCTATGTATCTATATATAGATACATTAGAATACTACTCAGCTATGAAAAGGAAATAATGCCATTTACTGCAACATGGATGGACCTAGAGATTATCATACTAAGTGAGGTAAATCAGAGAAAGACAAACATCATATATCACTTACAAATGGAATCTAAAAAAAAAAATGAAACAAATGAACTTATTTACAAACCAGAAATCGACTCACAGACATAGAAAACACACTATGGTTACCAAATGGGAAAAGAGGGGGAGAGATAAATTAGGAGTTTGGGATTAGCATTTACACAATACTTTATATACTACTGTATAGTGCAGGAAACTATATTCAATGCCTTGTAATAACCTGTAACGGAACAGAATCTGAAAAAGAATAACATATATACATATACACATAACTGAGTCACTTTGCTGCACACCTGAAACTAACACAACCTTGTGAATCAACTATACTTCAATAAAAATTTAAAAAACCAAAAACAACCCCCCTCCCAGAAAAAAAGAAGAGAGAGAGAGAGAAAGAAAGGAAGAACCTCTCTTAAGTGCCGCCCTGCTGCCTTTGATAATCAGCTTGGTCATATCTGTCCCTGTGAGATCGCTAAGCAAGCACACACGCCATAGCACACAGGAAGCACCTGGAGAAACAATGTAAATGTCCTGCTTACGGAGGCAGCCAGTGCCTGTTCTAAAACAAGGTGAGATGCAGCATTGTAAACTGACTATAGTTCAGTTTTTTTAAAAAAGTGAAATGGGAGATAGCAAGGAGGCAAAATTTGTTTGATTCACTAGACATAAATTTTTTTTAATTATACATGGGTTGTGGTCTGTACATATGATGGAATATTATTCAGGCTTTAAAAAGTATTGAAGTACTGACTCATGCTACAGCATAGATGAACCTTGAAAACACTACGCTAAGTGAAGTAAGCCAGACGCAAAAGGACAAATATTATATGATTCCACTTATATGAGGTACATAGAAGAGGCAAACTGAGAGCCACTTTTTCACAGTTAGAGAGTTTCAGTTTGGGACAATGAACAGGTTCTGGAAATGAACAGTGGTGATGGTAGCACAAAAGTGTGAATGTACTTAATGCCGTTGAACTGCACATGTAAAAATAGTTAAAATGGCAAATTTTTAATTGTATATATCTTTACCACAATAGAAAAATAAATTAAATTTAAATGGATTACCTAATTTGTTCTATTCAGCCCTTATCACCAACTATCACCAAAAATTTTATTATGAAGTTACCTTCTCACTGTATACAGTACAAATTAACTCCTATTTCAGTTACTCACATGTTCTTTCAGGTGGTGGCCAGGTACCCACACATAATTTTCGGTAGCCGTGGTCGCTGTTTTGAACCTGCTCTGCTCGCTTCGCGGGCACTTCGTGTATGTTTGTGTGTTGACGTAGCTCACATAGTGTCATCTTCAGTAACTGCGGAATTCTGTCAAAGTAACACCACTTGCTTAACCATCTCCCTTTTGTTGCTTATATTCATAACTTTTTTCTATTGCAAAGGGTCCTTTG